GAAGTGATGGCTTTTGGGTTTGAGGGTTTTATAATGCAAAAGAAAAGGTTTTTCCTTAATGTACAGTTTGGAGGACCTGATTGTCGCAGAAAATGGTATTTCAGGTTTAGCTAGGATAGGAATCTGGTGTTGTTGTGTAAACCATATTTTGAGGAAAACCATGGTTTTCAACTTGGAAATCAATTCATTACCATACAGAGATGGCATTTGTAAGTCGATTGGACCCTCTTTGAAGTATATAAATTTCCATCTTATTTTCTTGATGATGTTGATGTCCTAATCAGTGCTTGGTGGTTGTTTGTATGCTTGGATTTTTGCGAGAAAGTCTAAATTGCTTTGTTTTATCTACTTTATTGTTAAGTCGTTTAGCCTAGGTGTGGAAATTTCTGCAGCAATTTGACAAGCATTTACCAGCATCAACAGGGCATAACTTTAGCAGGAGTTTTTTCGGCTTTATTATGAATAATCAATCCTGTGATGCCACAATGTTTTGGAATTGGACCCTGCTTAATTAGGTGATTGCAGCAGCTTCTAATCATCCTGCCCTGCATAAATTCATATTATTATTTCTGCTACACTGTTTAACTTAATTGAGGAACAAGGCTTGGCCGCTCAGGCGGCTACCTTCAGACCTTGTATAGTTGCGTTGTATTGTTTTGAAACGTGAAGTAGCTACTTCTATAATCATTCACTTCAGAGTCCAGCCTTCCTTTTTTTTAGTATCTTCCTTCCTCTTTTCTCAAAGCTCCGATACTGCACCTTATTTCTTCTACACACCAGACATCCACTGTCTGCACAAGAAAGCACCAACCCCTGTAAACTCGAAAGTTTACCTCTATTATCTTATTTTCTTTCAACTGTTCTCTACCAATCACTAATGAATCGCAATACATTAGAGTTGGCTACATGAACCAAGGTGTCATGCCAAGGAGTCGCTCACATAAATTCTTCTCCAGTTCTCCTCTACTCCAATGCGATTCAATATGGAGCCTTGTTTCTTTCATGTCCTTGCATGTGATTTATTGGACGTTTAAAAAAAAAAATAATAAATAAAAAAAAAAAAATGAATTGAAGTCGAGTTAATATCAAATAAGTCGTAATCTTATTTGCTTTTCTAGGTACAGTTGGTACTTTTTTTTCTCCTATGTATATCAAGAAATTTATTAAAACTTGAGGAGTTTGATCATCAATTAACACTCTCGAATAGACCATCTCAAGTCGAGTTAGTTTTGACAGCTATACTCCCAAGGAATACTCAAATTGAGCATTAATAAAAGTCTCCCTAAACCATAGGGAAACTAACATTTTCCAAATTTTTGTTTCATATGAATCAAAAATCTAGTTGTAGAGATAATGAAAGCAAAGAAAACAACAAAATATGGACCACAACATAGAAAAAGAAGGCCAAAAGAGACATTATTTCACCATTAAAACAAAAGCCATATTTCAAAAGCAACCAAAAAGTCCCAGCTTTTATTGATAGTTTCACTAGTAATTAAGCTTGGAACTAAAAAAATCTAACGGCTAAAAAGGCGTTTACAAGCTCTCACAACCTTGGACCCCACATGTCTTCTTCCATAACTATCTTGGTTTTTCTTGATAGATCTTGTTTCTAATGATCCAATTCTTTCAAAGTCATAATCTTGATTATCATAATCATTATCATGATTATTATTATCATAATCATCAACATTTATTGAAATGGGTTGATCATAAATCCTGCTATACTTATCAGAATTAACAGATGAAGATCTATTAATTGAAAATGCTCTTTTCACTGCTGCTTGTATTGCTCTTGTACTACTCTGCCTTTCAAGACTAATATTCTTATGATTACTATCACTATGATCAACATTGTTGTTCTTCTTTTGGTAAGAAACTGAGCTGTTTCGCTTCAAAACACCGCCCTTCGATTTCGATTTTTCACCTTGATCATTCCCATCTTCATGATCCTCTGTTTTCCCTAAGAAGAAAGATTCATTCTTCTTATTATGCAAACTATCATCTTCATGAACAATAATTCTGGGTTGTTTTTCTTGTTGTTCATGAATTTGGGATTTTTTTGTAGATAATAATTCAAAATCTGTATCAATAAAAAGAAACTCTTTGTTGGATTTTGATCTTGAAATGAATGGATGATTTCCCTTGATTTTTGAGTACCCTTTCATTCTTTTCTTTTTTCTTTTTTTTTTTTTGGGTTGTGGGGTTTTTGATTTTTGGATATGAATTATTTTTTTTGGGTGATGAAGAAATGTAGGGTGGACCTAAATTTGTGGGAAATATGAAGGTGGTGGAGCAAGTGAAACTGTGCAACAGCTGTATTTTTGAGGGTGGACTGAAACAAAGATGCTGCAGGAAAAAAATTATATATATACTGAACTTCAGGGGATGGAAATGAGGGAGTTAATGGTAAAGACATGGGAAATTTAAATAAGTTGAAAGGGGGGACATATTGAGTCATTGACAAGTGACCACAATTACAACGACGGTAGGAATGGGATGGTGAGAATTTGTATAATCGGAAGACTACACGTCTTAGATAAAACGGACTTATAAAAACTTATCATAAATAAAAAAAAAAAAAAGTTTAAATTTAGTACGAGTAAGGTGTCTACTCCTTATATTTTGCATAGTAATAAATTATTGTTATTCCATCTCATACAAAATTTGTATGTATATCGAGGAGAGCCGGAGAGGAGATCACATCGAATTAATCTAATACACATGTCATGTCTGAGATCTTTATGGACTCCTTGACTTGTCCTAGTATAATAATTCAGTAGATGGAGATCGACTCATCCAACTTGGGATATCTGTCCATGCAATATTTGTTTCCTATAATTATAATACAGAGTATATTACTATGATACTCATTGAATTCCACTCTCTGTTTAGATATTATAGGCATGTCGACTACTCTTGGATCTTTGAAGTTCTCTCTCTCTCTCTCTCTCTTTTTTTTTTTTTTTTTTTCATCATTTATCTCTATTTTTAAAACAAGTAAAGAGTATATGTAATGAGACTAATTACTGACCAGGGTTAGTTATGATAAAAAAAAATAAACCAAGGCGATGAGATTTATTCAATTAGGTATCAGTTAATTTAGAATGTTAGATAATATGACAACTAATTCTAAACGAAAGAAAATTGTACTCACTAACTTTTTCATAGACAATGAGTGATCTTATCTTAGAATTGGTCAAACCAACAGGTTTCGAAAAATAAAAGGATACAACTACAGATGAAAGAAATTACAAGAAAATACAGTAATTGACAACTAACAAAATGTAGGGATTGATGTAGATGTAGCACACCACTACATTTTAGATTTTTGAGTATTAATTACTCGTAATTGTTTTCTAAAAGTCTCCTTAGAAAGTTCTAATTACTCATAACTACATAAGTATTATTTTAGGTTTTACGTTCACTTGATTTTGGATGCAACATCTGTTGTTTCCATTTTGGACTGCTATTCATAATTTCATATTGTATTTACCAAGGAGTGGTCCTCAATTGCTTTTAACACTTATTGATGCATATTTCCATGATCAATATCTTTAATTATCAATATGTTAAAATAACACAAAAAATACTCTTTTTTTTTTTTTTTTTTTTTTTTTTGAGAAATATACTGTATATGAGTATATCTGTATGTAAAGAAGAAGTTAATTTTATCATTATATAAATCACCAAGTAATCAAGTATAGGGAAAGTAAAATACTCAAATGTGAATTGTGCAAAAATCAAAACATTGCAAATAAAAATAAACAGAGCAAGTATATGCAATGTATGTATCCAACAAACAAATGATGCATTTGTCATCAAATTTAATACTATACATCGAGACATAATATCACGAATAAGTCTACTACGACAAAACTTCACAATTACTCGTAGGTAATCTTTCTTTTAATTTTTAAAGGTAAGAAGAAAGAGAATCCAGTGAGAGATAAAGAAAATCCCTCAAATGAACCCCATGAAATTTAATCTCTATACCACGAAGTGAGGAAAATACCTATCCCACTACCTAAATTTCGGGTATCTAACTATGATAACATTATAGGCACAAATAATAATTAAAAGGATGCATTTCCCTCAAAAGGGTACAAGGACAAACTAGCCATTTATACATAAACTCTCAATTTTGTTGCTACACTTCAATAAATTCCAAGTTGAGCAAAATTATTGACTACCCAAGTCAAACAATTTGACTAAAATGGATCAAACAACTGTAGATACATCACACATGCAAGAGGTGGCAATCGCAGAAAAGAGCAGCACGCAAATTCATGCATCCGTACACATCATTACACGAATCCCAAAGTCACATGTGCACAGAGTTACTCCAAATGTTCCATGCACCTCAACGTGGAGTTAGATCTGTGTGCTTTAACTATTCACACACGAGAATGTACATACAGTAACATTCAGGAATGTTGTTTACTCACTAGTCACAACTCCCTCTGTTCGAAACTAGTTGTCATGTGATCAGTGAAATATAATCAAACTAACAACGTGACAATTAAATCCTTTGGAAGAAGTAACTGAGGTTTATGTAGATCATCAACCTCTAAGATTCAAATGGCATAAAATGGGAAATCAGTACACAAGAGCACATGCAGAAATTGTGATGTTCAGTCACCAACAGAAACAAAAAGAGAGACAGCTATAGGGGCGGAATCAGTTAGCTGTCATGACAGCCATGTTCAAGCCACCCGAAAGACGTAGGCTCCTCTTACCATCACCGAAGATGGCTCACAACTCCCTCAAGTGTAAAGGATATACAGAACCCCACAATTTTAATGGTATATCTAGATGTAATTTTTTCATGGACTCTTACTCAATCCCACCCTATCTCCCCCCTCCCAATAGTCCCAAATGTACGCATGAATTTGAGAGGATTGTAAAATTACATCCAGATGTATGGACACCTAATAAAAAACCTCACAATTATAAATTGATAACTGAGAAGAAAAAAAAATGTTACCAAGATGGAAAAATGTAGGGGAGTGAAAAATAAAATTGGCATTCATAGATGAACTACAAGACTATTATTAGAGGCAAAAAAATTCAATTCCACTGATCAAATCATGTCAATTTTTTTTCTTAGGGATGGGGGGAAGAAGGTAAAAGAGTGACCAGGACATATTAAAGGGCATTAATCATCCTTTTCATCTCGGCAGATCTGCGGGGATCTGGATCCTCGATGGCCCTCTCTGTCAGTACATGTTTGATCCGACACATGGACTTTTTTACCTGCACCCAAATGAAGGTTAAATCATTAGTGACAAGTAAAATGCAGAAATTGCAATCTTGTGAAATATAATGTTGTATGGTGGGTGTTTAACGATTAAAATGCAGAAAAGGAAAGTTCCACATACAGACACTAGTAAAGCACATAAATTAGGACATATTAAAAGTAAAAACACTATAGTGAAAAGGATAGACCAAGAGGTCCTAGAAAAGAATCCAGGTAAATATTTCTAAGTCTCAAATAAAAATATAGACAAGAGAATTGCAATCTAACAATAATTAGGTCCTCATATCACATGTGAAGTCTTGCATACATCAATAGAGCACAAAGCAAAATATTAGGCGACAATATTCAGGAGCACACAATGAATGGCTTCAGCAAGATAATTACACCATATTTGCACTTGCAAAAGATTTAAACACAAACAAAATAATAGTTCCCCGTCCGAAAATAACAGTCATGTATAAATTAAAAATTGTCACATTTTATCTGATATGGAACTAGATTCTATGGAGTGATGGAGATAGGATGCAGAGGAGGCAACTACTATAAAGGGTATAGTGAATTTAAAAAGAAATTCAACCATGTAAAAAGCCCAAAGACATATTGGAATAATTTCAAGTTTAACATTTCCCTCCTAGGCAGCAAAAAATAGCCTAAGGCTAGTGTTATTGCATGGTAACATTCTATGCTAATCCATGTGAGGTATTAAAGTTTGCTGTGAAGCATTAAGCGGATTATTCTCACCTTTTACTTACGAGGATAAAAAATGAGAATATTAGAAGCTTTGATACACTGTTGGGTGGATTAACATCAAATCTGCAGTTAGCAACTAACTGAACTTATGCCCAGTCCCTAATTAACATTTTCCTTCGATTGGCTCAAGAACCATTGAGTGTGTAAGCCATACATGCTCTCAGTGCTCATCATTTTATGTGCAAACCCAATTTGACACAGTTTAAAACTTTCTTCTATGGCCTAAAAAAGTACTGGACTGCACCTAATTTTAAGATACAAATAACAACTGTTTAGCGTCTGCACAGCTGATCCTTACAACTGAAAATCCACCACACTATCATGAAAGCATTCACACTAAAAGACACAACAGGTTTTAACTTTAACACTAAGACAGTGGGACAAAGGAAGGACGTGACAGAAAACTGTAAGTATACACTTAAGCAGATGGATAGTGGAAGGGAATGAAAAGTATAATTGTAACCTTAACAGCGCCATGCCATCATGTGATATTAAGAAAAAGAATAGAATAAAACTAGCACGTACAACCCAAAAGTCCAAAACACAATGGAACCATGCAGAACTTCCCAACACATTAAGCAGTGATACTTTAAAATGCTGGTAACTTACAAGGTTATTTTGACATCTTAGTTATAAAAAGCACGCTTTGCACTAGAATGTCTAGCCGCGGGACAAAATGCATTGGCCTTGTAAGGCAAAGCACATTCTAGAAGGTGCATGCCTCACCAAATCAAGAAAAAAAATTAGACAAAAGACCAAAATCAATTTAAAATCAAATCTTACACAGCCTTCGAGATGCGAATTCAAGTAAAAGCCTTCAATTAATTGCATGAATATACTACTCTCTCCGTTTTCCTAAGTTCTACTCCCTTGCATTTTACGCTGTCTTCAAAACAAAACTTTGACCATTAATATCTTTAATTGTGTATACAAAGTTGATATACTTAATAAAATCCAACTCGATAATGTTTTTTCTTATATATACATAATTAGACATGGTAAAAAATTTCAAACTTTGACCTTGTGAATAATAAATGGGTAGAACTTGGGAAAACGGAGGTAGTACTTTTTAAAACCCCGGATGCCTTATTTAAAAAATAATAATAATAATACTCCATAATAAAAATTTCACAAGTTGGGAAGCCATAGGCAAATTAGTAGTTGCTGGTTTTAAAGAAGTCACTGGCTAGACTTCTCTAGAAGTTGTCAGCACTATCTGCCCAGTGGCCATCTCCGGTCACCTAGTTAGGTTAGTTCATTTTACTTTATACTCTATTTTGAAATATGTCTCTCTGTCGTTCTTCGATCTCCTCCTGTTCCCTCTTTACCCATCATCATATGATGTAGTCTTTTCAATATTCTCATGTATATTTCTTTCTTAATAATCCTTAGCAGAAACAGGACATCAAAACCACAGTCATGCATCAGTAAAAGCATAATGCCAGACGTATGTTCACGGAAAATATCCAAATTAGCATAGTCTTGACTCCTAGTTTCCAAACTAGTAACATCAGATTAAATAAGAGAATTTCTTTGCTTAAACTGGGAAGTCACTTTCACATTAAGATTACCAAAAGAGTTTGGCCATAATTACCTTTGATATACGTTCAGGATTAGGAAATCGCAGGTTTTGAGCATTGAGCATCTGTCTCTGTGTCATCAGCATATTTCTCTCCTTCAACAGTACATACCAAAGCTTATGGAGATCATCCCAAGACTTGAGGCGCAATTCAGAAGCTTTCCAACCGCGTCCTAAGATCCATTCATGATATAACTCAGTCAGATATCATCCAAATAAGCATTATTTACTCACAAACACAATTTAACTACAAATACAGATCACTTGACTCGCAAAGCTTGAATAATACCAAGAGGATAAGCAAGTACATAGTTCTGTAGAGAAACATTACGGTGGCATATGGTTGCAGTCTTTCCAGAGCCAGATATGAGACAAACCCTAATTTCCTTATTAGTTACTATGTATCAGTTATTCAGTTATAAAAGTTTGTAATTTTGTTATCAATGGAGAACTCTATTCCCCTTGATTAGAACCCTACTCAAACCTCACCACCAACCCCCCACACCCTTGGCACACAGAAAGAGGGAGATCACGGAATTGCTGGTTTGGTTGAGCCAACACTCAGTACCAACTTTTGATCCAACCATCAACCATGAAGCCCAGCTACTGCAAGCAGCTGTAGTACAAAAACCATATCCTCAACATATTCCAAAACTAAGGAGATGCCAAATATAGTATTTCTTATATAGATCAAATCAAAGGGGACTAGAGGAGCCAAATCAATCCAACTGGCATTGGAGGAAGGATGGGGAAAGGTTGCACTTATTTTGTAAGAAGTGAGGTACAGGGCCATGGAAACTAAATTGGGGCACCAACAAGGACAAACAAGCTTCTTGAAGTTGGGTCAATCCTCCATTAAGACCATTCTTAACTGTCAATATGTCAGTCAGCTCCACAACATTACTTCTTTCATTACTTCATCTTTCTTTGTCACGCATGGAACACTGATTGGGGCAAACAAATTACAAAATAGCGATCCATTTCCATAATGATTGAAGGCAAAATTGTATAAAACAGGATTACACACTAAATGAATATGTATTACTTCCTTCGTCACTAAATAGTTGTACAATTATAATGCATTCAAGCCTAAGTGGGTAAGGGCCAGCACCTACACACTAGCACAATCCCACATACCTAATATTAGCAGTTGTATAAGCAGACCAATTGCATGAAGAGCAACCTAATAAAAGCGACTTTATCTCACCCCACAGCAAACAAACTGCAAGTGACTCAACCATTACCCCGTATTAGATATAATTACATCATGAATTAGCTTTCTTTGACCTCAACTAGGATCAGTCAGCTATATAGAGGTGTTTTTTTCTTCTTAACAGAATCTCAAATGGGGGAGAGGTTGTTTTATATATTTTTTTGCACAAGATAGGAGGTGATCAACAGGTACAGTACTTATTGAGATCTGAAGGAGTCAATTCTAGTACTTCAGTGTTGTTTCACATTCTTAAACAGCTGCATAGAACAAGCTAGCCTTAAAATATAGCTCTTGAAGTCTAAAATTGAGAGGTTCTCGTTTTAAGACGAGATAATAGTTAGCAAAAATCATTAGTCTACTGAAGCCAAGTGAAGTGCCAAACTGCCAATGGACAGCTTTAAATAGTTTGGGATGCTGTATAACTGTATCACTTCTACGGTTCTACCCACAAAAAATATAATCGCTTGTTTTACAACTTATAAGGTAATATTCTCAAATGAATATTCTGAGATAGATCACTTCTCTAGTAAACGCTGTATGAGATACAAGTTCACATCACTAAATGGATTAAATCTCTAATGTCATTTCACAATAAACATCATTCAATTATAACAATTGAAGCTCAATAAACAGAGTCTCCCCATCCCTACCCGGACAAAAAGCAAGAGCATTAAATATGTTCATGATACAAAATAAATGGCCCAAACACAAGCATAATAGGACACTCTCATCTATCTATCAAGGAAGAATAAATAAAAATCATTAACCACAGACCAATGTCCACCGTAGAGTCTTCACGGATTCAACTGTGAAAATTGCATGCCATGCCATACCCTTCTCACAAATTCAAGCAATTTTCCATTTATCAAAACACATTAATGACAAACATCATCAAATTAAAAAATCCATCTAGTATTTAGTTCAAACAATTATCGACTAATAAACCACAAACAGTGTTTCTACATTCAACATTCACCAACAAAATACAATGTCAACATAGTTAACCAAACCCTCAAATTACAAAAAACCAAATTTGTCAAAAAATCAGAAGGGTCATCTTCACATTATCATCTAAATCATAATATGATCCCAAGTAAAACAAATTGATTAAGATAAATTTAAAAGGGGAAAAATTAAACGCACCATAAACAACACGTTTATCATCATCAGTTGATCTATCAACCTCAAAGAACTGCTCAAGAGGATTACGCACTGATGTTGAAGCAGCAGCTGCTCCACCTGTACTTGTGTGTTCATATCTTGCAGCTGCCGATAAAATCCTTCCACCAATTCTTCGCAGAAACATTTTGAAGATAAACCCTAATTACAATTTTCAATGCAACGAATTCAGCAACTTTTTTGAATTGAAATAAATTGAGAAAATGAAGATAGTTAGAAGATAATATAAATGAAGAATGTTCGAATATGAGAAAGAGAAGGGTTTACCGGCGGACGGCGGCGTTGACGGCGGGAAGTGAGAGTGAGAAGAGGAGTTTTAGTGAGAGAGTGAGTAATTAACACAATTGCAGCTTCATATTTTTATTTCATTTTTTTTTTATAAAATAAATTTTTAAAAATTGATATGAAAATGGTGGAAAAGAAATGAAGATTTCTTATTTATGGGAATTATAGTTAAATTTGGTGGATGAAAAATGTAATTTAAAAATTGTTTGAAAGAGTTGCACTGTATTTTGATAAGATTTTTTAATTTTGAAAAATAATTTGGGAAAAGTGTAGGAAATAAAAGGAGAAATTAAATAATTTAAAGATATAGATATTGTAAAACTTGATAGTAACGTATTTTTCAAAAAAAAAAACAAAAAAATTGATAGTAACGTATTTGATAAGGTTAAATAAATTGTTGAGCTTGTTGTACATGTTAGATTTGTTGATTGATAAAGTTGATGACGTAAAGATTGTCACCTTTAACTATAAGATATTTAATTCAAAAAAATAGCGCTCCTTTTATGTTATTAAAAATATCTAAGCCTCCACAATCAATGCTTGAATTAGATGGAATAAGCTTGGTGCTAGTAAGTATAAGGTTGTCAAGAAGAATTGCGATATAAAATCGAAATCGAACTCTCATTTGAGCAAAGGGAGTCATCAAAGGTTAACATGCCTATGGGAGAGAGGAGCTTGCCAAAGTATCTATTCATTAGGAAATAGCGTAATGAGCAACGGGTGCAAACTAGTGTATACGTTGACCCTAGTCATGAGTATCACCCCTTGTTGATTATCCACTAACAAAAACAACTTGTATTTGAACTTTCTTTAGAAGGAGCATAACTGATCAAATCCCCATTCATCTAGCAGATAAACAAAGTGAATCGAGTGACAAAATAGATCTTTGTGGAAATGCGTCACTTGAATAAATTATTGTAAACAATGAAAAAGTATCCAAAAGAAACATCTATTTTGAACGTTATCTAACGTCCGCTACGTTGACGTTAACGTCGTTTTGTAATTATAACCATGGTTTGTAGCAGGTTCTCATTTATTCTTTCTTTCAAGAAACCACTACCGGCAAAGGAAAGATAGAACTTTTGAATTAGAGCTATGGAGAATTGGAAAATTCTTCTTCAGTAATAACGCTACCATATGTTACCATAAATCCTGAGTAGTCAACTTTACCCACTCATTTAACTAGTGAAATTATACATTCACTCTTAGATAAACCTATTATCTAGGAGATAAACTTGAATTTTCTCGAGCATAATATTACAAATTTCCAAAGAATTATTAGTTTTAGGAGGAAAATCTAAATTTCATTTTAGTAGGATGCTCCCCAAAAATGTGCTAGCCATGCTCCTCATTTGGCTGAACCATAGGAAATGTGTCATCCAAAACACTCGGTATTCAATCTTATTAGAAGGAATATGAACATAAACTATTGTACTAAAAATATGAGGGATAATATCTTGTATTTTACAATATCCCATTAACTTTAAGACAAATATTCTTTAATTTTATGACAATTTTGTTTGTTTGCAACGTCTAAAGATAGAGACGAGGAAAAGTGTTTACAAATAGGGGTTGGTATTAAGGAAGGGAAAACCAAATTGTTATGCTAAGGGCTTGTTTGACATTGTTTTTTGTTTTTAGTTTTCTATTTTTTATGAATACCAACAACATGATACAAGAAAAAAGTGTTTCTACTTTTTTTGTTGTCGGTTTTCTAAATTATCAGGATTTTAATAAGTTTGACCAATTTTTTTACTCATTATGACACATATATTATTTTGAAAATCAAAAACCAAAAAACAGAAAACCATAACAATGCTAAACAAAGCCTAAGTCATTTGTTTAAAAGTATCAATTGTAGCTACCTCTAATGTACCTTATCAGAAATTTAGTTTTTTAATTGACCGAAAAGTTAACTTAATTAAATTTTCGAATTCAAAATAGTTTAGCACCTTGCCTATTCAGCAATAGTTTAGGTGGCCATCCGTAGCCGTGTAAACGAATAGGAGTCAACTGGGAATCAATAGCAAGTCCATCATCATCCTCATTCACAGTCAATCTACACTCTGTCTGTAAACTAAAAATTTCCAAAAAATGCTGTCAACTTCCAATTTCATCTCTCCCCAACAATGTCCAACTCCATTTCCATCTTCTTCAATTTCTTTAACCCTTTTTGCATTTATCTAAACTTATATAATAACGCCTTTTTTTTTTTTTTTTTTTTTTAATCTCTGAATTTAATTTTTTATATGTTTTTTGGCAGGATCATGATGTCTGCTCATTCTTCAAATTCTCCGCTTCCTGATGATCGCATCGTCGTGAGACCCTTTTGTTATTTTCCTATTGTTTATTTAAACACTGATTTTGTAATTTTTTTTTTAATGGTTGAGGCTCAATTTTACTAACTCATTGTTTATTGTTGATAAATGATAATTGATATACTTGTTCTGTTCGGTTTTAATTGTCACGTTATTAATTCAAATTACACTAACAACGCGACTCTTAGTTCTGAATAAAGGAGATTATTACAAATAGTGGTGCAACTTCATCAATGACTCAAAATTCATCCTAAACTATCTTGAGAAATCTTGAAATAACAACTGTCACCTCGCTTATGCTTCTGAAAATTCTATTTGTTTTGGTTGAATTAAAAGGGTTTCTAGAAAAATTTGATAATAGTTTATGAGAAGGTACTACTGTACTAGGTGCCGTAGGAGGTGAAAAGGAAAATATCACAAATAAAATGCTATAGATTAGTGAATTTTAACAAAGTTATTAACGGAATATGAATCAATGGCTATTATCAAAATGATGCAATTGCGGCTGATGGCAGGTGGGGTGTGGGGGTGCAACAATGGACTATCTGTTAATGGTGGATGGCTTCCCTAAGCCTGATGAAAAGATCAAAGGCACTTCCTCCAAGGTACATTATTGTGTATGAGCCAAATGATTTGTTAATGTTCTTAGTATACTGATTTAGATCATTAAAACTTGTATATTTCAAAGTTCAATGACTATTGTTTAATTACATCTGTGCAAGTTCTATTTTTAAAGACGAGGGAGAAGACATATTTATAATGTTTGGATGATGTATGATGAGACATGGATGTTTAAATGATGATATGAACACATTGAATTGACTAGATTAAGTTGTTGAAGGAAGTTGGGGGATAATATTGGAAGTGGGATAAGTGGTAATATTGAAGGTGGAGGAGGAGGGGTTGGGAATGGAAGAGCTGAAGATTTTGACATGTCGGATAACTCTATCATGTAACTAGCTACTGGCCATCTTTAGAACACATTGCCTTTTAAGACAATAATAGTTTTTAAGACACACAAACATGCAAGTGGACATGAGACTGTGCACTGCCATTTTTCCATCTAAAATACACCGTTGCTCCAAACTAATTATTTTTCTTCTGTATTAGACAGTAGATTGTCATTTTGTGGGTCTATTGCGCTAGACTATTTCATGATGTGAGAAATGTGGACTTTAGACTTGGGGAGGGGGAATCTAACTCTATTTTCAGAAAAAAATGGAAGCAGAAAAAACTTGATCTTCAAAGTTTATGGTTCTTCATTTATGTCAAGTCAGCCATCTTATATACGTAGTATAAATTCTGTATTGAAATTTGGTAATTTAGTTATCAGTAGACCTTATAATATTACCCTTATTGATGATTTTTGTAGGTTCAAGGGGGCGGCAATGTTGGCAATGCTTTGACTTGTGCTGCTCGTCTGGGCTTACGACCTAGAATAATTGCCAAGGTCAAGGTCTTACTGTGTTGTAGCAAAAAAATTCTTTTTCTTTTGTGACTTTTCAATAAAATTTGGGAACCTAGAACTCGAGATATATTTTATTCAAATGAAGAACTCCAGAAAATTTGTTGGTTCACATATCTTCATTTCTTTAGGTTGCTGAAGATGCTGAGGGAAGAGGCATACTAGAAGAGCTTGAAGCTGATGGTGTGGATACTTCTTTTATTGTGGTGATTACTTGCTTTTTGTAACGGTAGATGCTCCTGTTTAGAAATTAGGAGATAAGAGTATGACTTAGGGAGTTTGTAAGCAAGTGCTATATTACTTGCAAATGTGATTCTGCTAGTTTCAGTTGGAACTCCATTTGAAAGGTATGTGAATGCTGAATTCTTTTAGGCCTCAAAAGATGTGTCTTTATCCTTTAGATAGTTATCTCTCACTGCTATTATGTTAAACTATAGAGTAACCCTGTAGATAAATTTGCATCCTTTGTCGGTTATTAGGCAATTCCCATGAGAAATCTACAATGATCTAATCTTAGGAAGAGCGGCAATTTTGGGAGTAGAGTTATAATAAAGTTGTAATAAAAGCTTCAAGGAGAAGGAAGTTAGTTTGTTAGGAAAATGCTTTAGCTAATTAGAGACAAATAAGGGTGTGGAATGTTGTTGAATGTTTTGGGTTAGCTTTAGAAGGCTAACTTGGGATAGAATCCACCTCTCGAAAGTGCATTTCTCATACAAAGTGCTGTAATTTAGGTTTTTTTTTTTTTTTTTTTTTTTTTTTTTTTTTTTTTTTTTTTATTGGTTTCAAAAAAAAAAAAAAAAAGCTATGATAATTCATAGCAGAATCAACAACAGCTGTCTGACAATTGTATCACCAGTAGTCTATGTTCAAAATCATTTATGTTCCTACTCTCTATCATAATTGTTACATTTGTTTATGTGTCAGAGGTGTATTTTAAGAAATATCCATTCACCTATGCAGGTTTCTGAGGAAGGTCGTTCAATGTACAGTTATGTGATTGTTGACAGTAAGATGTGAGATTCCTGTTTAGTATTTGCATCTTTTGTCAATTTCTCAGGAGTCATAAGTCTCATAACCATGAATATTACTTTCGATTTTTCATTCACTTTTTTCTATTTATGCATCTTGCACATCAATTATTTTTCCCCTAAGTTTATCGTCATCCTCATTTTCTCTTTCAAATGCACAGTTTAATTTGAATCTCAGTTTTTTTGCTTTTGTTTTTCTCATAAATCCACCTTGACTCATGATTAAACTTTTTGGCTTTTGCATATGCGTTGAACTACTTATTGTGATGCTTTTAGGAAAACCCGGACTGCTATATACTATCCAGGATATCCTCCCATGATACCTACTGACTTTTCTGGCTCTAGTTTATCTTCTGCTTTAAATGGTGCCAACCTTGTATATTTTGATGGACTTTCACTAAAAACGGCTTCAGCTGTTGCAAGAGAGGTAAATGTCTTGTATTTTTCTGTATTTTTCTCTTTGCTTAGTTTCCTCTCATTTGTCCGGTTAGTATATGTGCTTCAGTCAGAGATATACATTTCTTATAATACTTTTGCATATTGCAGCACTCATACTCCATAGAGGATGGTATTGTAAACCTAGATACTCTGGACATTCTTTTGCCTAAGTTTCTTGGTGCGGGTTCTGTGGCTAACCATATCTTTGTATAATCTAGTGCTCTGGTTTCCAGAATTTATTATATTGATAAGAGACCACCTATTATTACTATTACTTACGTTTATGTTAGGCCTTGAGTTTTAGAAATTCTTAGTCAAAGATAATCTTTATTATTTTTAGGGACTTATATGAAGATACTGTGGGTTCACCAGCTGCTCACTCTTAATGACTCAAAGTTCATCTTTGTTCTAGCAATGATAATGCATATGGGTTGGGCACTTGGTGATGGTAGATTGGTAGCAATGAAAATGTTCCTAACATATATGTATACAAATACAGAGATACATGCATATGCCTGCATATTTGAATACATGTTTATGTTCATACATAACTTGTTGTCAACTCGATGTGCTGTAAACATCTAGGTTTATTTTCAGTTTTGTTTTTCATGGGGTGCTGTGATCTCTCTTTCTCTCTCTCTTTCACACACACACACATACTCGCTCACTCTCTCTCATGATTCCTCCTGAAGGTTCTGGCAATGAGGTGGACTGACATACTGACATTGCTGTGAGTTTCTGTTGCAGGCACGTCGTAGAGGTATACCAATTCTGGTTGATGCAGAAATGGGAGAGGAAGGGTTTGATAAACTTTTAAAAATGTCAGACTATGCTGTTTGCTCAGCAAAATATCCTCAGGTAAGACTAGCTTTACCAATTACCACAGTTTCAACTTCTCTACTTTGTCCTGCTGAAGATGAACTCCTTTTTTCCTTTCTTAGAATTGTAACAAATTACTAACTGAAAGAGAGTGAGTGATGTCATAGATAATATTCACACTAGTTACAAGAGCAGACATTCCTGGGTCTTACAATTGGGATGCTCAAAATGGTCTTGAGTAGTCTGGATCCCTTTGCCAGAGTTTAGTAAGATATTTTTGTTTCCTTTAGTTGGAAAGAGAGAATTGGGATTAAATTAGAGACCAGAGCATTAATTTCTCCCCTTTAATTGTCATGTGGGCCAAGCAGTATGAATTTTACCCATTGTTGCATATTTATTTGGACTGTGTAATTATGTGCTGGTTTAAGGAGCTGATGCTTTACATAGATCAGGTGTATTGGCACCTCTCATTGCTGATAGGAAGCCACTTTGATATGTGAAGACGTAGGGGCATTTGGAGAGCTGGAGTAGTGTTCTGTTCTTGTAATTTGCACATTGCACATAATTTTATTAAATTATTTAAGGTCTTTTCCTCAACTTTAAATTAATTCTATTGGTTACATGTCCTCCTAAATGTCGTTATAGTTCTCCGAAAAGTTGATGCATTCTTGCATCTAATGTGAAACAATCTGACCATCAATGTCTCGCTGGAAGTTTTCACTCTCTTTTATGAAACATTATCATTCGTAAACTCAATCTTGACACTATATGAATAACACACTGCTTTGCTGCTCTTGCTGTGATAGGCTTGGACAAATGCACCATCTATGGCAACTGCACTTGTTTCTATGCTAATAAGATTGCCATTGTTGAAATTTGTGATTGTTACCCTTGGTGAAGAGGGGTGCATAATGCTACAGAGAAGTCATAAAGGTGAGGAATACAAGAAGTCACTTGCTACTGTTTCCATTCATAGCATTCCAAAAAAAAAAAAAAATATGTTGGTATCCATACGCGTGTTTCCAATCTTGATCTAATCACTATCTAGATGCATGATCTGTATGCTGTGTTTAAGAAGTATATTTTGGCTTGCAAATTTGTTAATTTAATTGAATATGCATACGGTGTCATGGATACCTCATTGAATTTCTCTTTGCAGCAGATGATGCTCAGTTAGAAGAAATGAATGCGGACCAATGTTTAGCTTCATTAAACAAGAAAAAAGACAGCCATAAAAGTTATCCAACATGTATTTCATCGGTTAGTTTTTGTCTTCTGATATGTGTTTACATTGTACTCCTTATTGATAATTTACTAGAGCAATGTTTCTTTATTATCAAAGGGGTTGGATTTTACTAATTAGGCTGTTTTATGGACCATGGTTTAGGGTTGTCTTTATCTGGACAATCCATATATTGATGATGTCAATAGTTGCCATGTTTTGTCTGTTAAGTTTATTCAGCGTTTTTTTTTAAAATATTTATTTTTATTATTATTATCGCGCCCATGCTTCTTGAGATTGGTGGATAGCATTGATTGTGGTGTAAATTATCATCTTCAGCTTTACCTTTCGAGTGATTTTGAAGTTAATCTTGAGCTGAAGAGATGTATATTGAACAGAGAACCTGATGATATTGCCATGAAATTGTCTTTTTCACAAGAGAGCTACAGTTGTACTGCTTCACCCTCATGTTTGATACTTATTTTTTCTTTTTCTGTTTGTATGAATTCTGCTTTCACCTCCCAGTCAGTTTTAAAGCTGGAAGCACCTGGACTTGGAACACTCAGTGGAAGGTTGCTAGTTGGAACAGCTGAGAGAATACCACACTTGGAGCTAGTTGATACAACGGGAGCTGGTGACGCTTTCATTGGAGCAGTTCTTTATGGTATGTTAAATAATAGATCTCATGTCGGTCATGTGTAGCAGTGTAGTATTTGAGAAACTTATATGCTAATGGATATGTCATTTAGTACAACCAAGTTACTAAAATGTTTTTGTTTGTAGCTTTGTGTACAGATATGCTCCCGGAGAACATGCTGCCATTTGCTGCTCAAGTGGTGAGTGGCACTTTCATTGGTCCATGCTTAAATTTGTAGTTAGGATTTACTAAGTTCAGTTTGCCATTATATTTTTTTTGAGAAGAGAAGTGTATGATATGACTCTGCTTGAGTGGTATCATCACAGGCAGCTGGCTGTTGCCGAGCATTTGGAGCTCGGACAGGTCTTCCACATATTACGGAGCCACGCTTGCAACCCTTCCTGGATCAAAAGACAAGTACATCACTTGCATAATGAAGTGTAACTTCAAGCCTAAGCCAATTCCCTAAACGAATGGTTTGCAATATCTCTTCTGCACCTTCTGTATATTTTGCTTGTTAAAGCTAAGCAATGTTATTATGTACATATATTCCTCCGTCCCAAGTCATCCTGGCTAGGTTGTAAATTGTTCAAGCCTATGTATTGAATATGTTGTAATGTTGTATATTAATGATGAATAAGGTTTGTTCATTTCAAAGTTGGTGCATATTCATTTGGAGCATCATACATTGTTTATGATTGAAAAATAGAAAAGACACGAATAAATTACTCTGGAATCTTAACCTTGATGTTTTGTTCCAAATGCTACATTGTTATTGAACACAGAAGGAAAAGATAACTGCTCTATATGTTCTTCCAGATAAAAAATATAACTCTGATACACAGTTTTAGGTAAATCTAAGTAACATGTATGTTCAATAGGTAGATTTGCTTAAAGCTAAAGTTTGCATTGGTTGTCCTTAAATTCTGTTTTAATTTTTGCTTTCTGGTTTCTTTGCTTGTTGTTTGTGGCTATGACGACCTTCTTAACCAAAAAAAAAAAAAAGTTTGCATTGGTGATCTTTAAATTTACATTTATCACAGTTTAGCGTTGCAAAATTTCATATTCTTCAATTCTCATAATTTTTTTTACCCTTTCTCTTGGGTTCAGATTCTTCAAATCTTTAGAAAAAATTGCAGAAGTTTTGTTGTGATATTTTAGGTGGATGGTGGTGATTGTTGAATAGGTCGGGGCGGGTTTTTTTGGTAAGATTTTTTTTTCGGGATGGTTGGGGTTTTTTGGGGCTAGATGAGGATGATATTAGTTTGTTTGCAGTCTTGGGAGTATTGGCTGATGCATTCATGCATCTACTGTGAAGCGATCTGACCATCAATATGGCGCTGAAAGTTTTTGTTACTGTCTTATCAGAAACCCTTTTTTGCTCTTGTTATAGGCTTGATTCGCTTGTACAAAGGCTATGTTAACCTAAGTAGTGAACTTGTTTTTATTGTTAATGATATTGCCCAAGTTGTAGTTTGTGATTGTTACCCTGGAGGAGGAGGGGCTACATAATGCTCTTACAGCGGCGAGGCTACAATACTGGAAGTCACATTGTACTGTTTTTCTTGTATTGTAATACTGTATACATATTATACTACTATACGGAAATTGATTTTGGCACACCCTTATGTGAGAAGAGTATTGAAAAGTTGAAAACTGGGCTCTCACATAGAGAGGTGTGCCTAAATCAATTTAGGTGTGATAAATTCATTTCCCTTACTATACATACCTATCTAGACGTATTATAAACAAGCTGTCTTTTGATCAAGATAAGCATCTAATAAATGTATAAAATAATTAAGGAGATAATTAATTCGACTGTCTACTATAGGCCGTGTATTCGGGCTTACTACTAAATATAATCGAGCCCAATAATGTGGCTGACCAAGGGTAGAGTGGTGTAGGGAAAATATAAAAGATTGTTCCCCATAACTTAAATTTATCTTACTACGTATATAAATAGGGATTATGTATATCTGGTAATTGTTTCCTCCAATACTCCCACACTAGCTTTGCTTCCTCCACGTTTGAAGTTCTTGATCTCAAAAAATACGAAATACTTACTGGAGATTGGAGAACCGGAGAACACATGTCAAAGGTAATACATTTAACTTTATTAGACGTTACAAAATTGTTGCTAAAAATTTCGTTAATCTAATTTTTAAGTTTAATTTCTACACATTATCTGTGTACTTTGAGTTTAAAGTCTTTGAAAAGTCATATAACAAACATGTTTATCATAGAATTTTTTTTGAAAAGTTATATAACAAACATATTTATCATAGAAAAAATTTTGATTACAAATTGAATACATGTATGGAACAATACTGTGCACTTAATTTAGCTGTGCTGAAATTATAAAAACTCGAAAATAATTTATATTATGTGGGGGGTTTTAGAGGAAATGCTGAATCTGTTAATTAGATTGGATTCTTCTAAATACCTATTGATATTGTGTTATCTAATTGCATTGTTGAAAACTGCTGACTTATTCTTATTATATCATTTATCTTAGCAGTTAAACCATCCTATAGTCTCATCTGATCCTAAGCCATTTTACATGGCAATACCAAAATGGGGAGAACTTCCATTAGACGTGCTCATCATAATAGTTTGTACTTGTTGGAGACGCACAGCAAAGTTTAGTCATCAATCATCATTGACAACTCAAACCCCATGGTTGATGCTAGCACAACCACCTCGTACTTGTTCTATAGTCTCTACAATTCCAAGGTTCGTCGTGTGGATTTGCCCACACCACCTACACCACCACCACCAGATAGTATCATGTACAATCAATACTTATAGAGGCAACTTTATCCACCCAAGGAGTACAAATACAATTGGAAGAGTGATTGGAGGTACTTCTCTTCGCGTGGATGGTTGATTTATGTAACGCAAATTGGTCTAAACATCAGTCTTATGCATCCCGTATCAGGGCAAATAGTTCAAACCCCTGTTATATCAGGAACCATCTTGCGTTCGATGGATCTTTTATGGCATGATAGAAAGTATTTACATATGTTCCATAAATTCGCGCTGTCAGAAAGTCCATCAGTAACGCAGGACTACACTGTTGCAATGGTTATAACTAATACTCTGGCTTTCTGGCAGAGCAGTGATGATAAGTGGACTGCACTCGACAGTAGCCCTTACCGCGGTGCATACAGGGATGTCACTTTTTATAACAAGGAATTCTACGCTGTTTATCATCCTAATGCATATGATCCTAAATATATTAGTAATGTTCAGGTAATGGCTTGTGGGAAAACTTGCCCTTGGACTCCAAGGTTAGTTTCAGAGCTCCGAACTGCAGGAAACAGCTATGCTAAGAAATTCTACTTGGTGGAATCAGATGGCATGTTGCTACTTGTGTGTCGTTACACGAAAGTGGTATTCGATTCGAAACAGATAAGAAACACATACAAGACTAAATGCTTTGATGTGTGGGAGGTGAATGTCATGAATGGGTTACTAACAAAGGTGAATGACTTGGGTAATAGAGCACTTTTTGTAGGGTTTAACTCTTCTTTTTCTGTGGAACAATCAACTTCAGTATTACTCCGATATATATTTGGAAAGAGATTACCTAATAATTGTGAGGCTTGTGAAACTAATTGCATTTATTATACCGATGATTAGTTGGAATATTATTATCTAAATGAAGGCGGGCATGATATAGGAGTTTATAGTTTATTTACCAAAGAAATTTTTAATTGTTATAAAGGTCCTTCGCGTTTCAGTGTATCTACACCACCCTTATGGGTCGAGATCTTGGGGTTGTTTATTCGCCTAGTCTAAAAACACAATAATAATCAATTTGCGTTCAATATTGCATTTTTGTAATTATATTAGCAAATGATATTTTTTTATTTTTTTTCCTACTCAAAATTGTTAGAAACTTGATTTAAACCCATGCATCAATATTTAATCAAAATAACAAAATATTAATACATAATATTACTATTTTTTTAATCTTATACAATTCAGGTTCACACATATACAAACAAATTTTAAATCTTCCAGCAATTATGATCACCACTGTACATCGCATTCAAGAATTTCATGGTTTTCAAATTCTAAAATATGCTTCGTTGCCTGCAAAAGTTTTACGTTTATTTGTGTGGAACATTAGATGAGTTTATATAGGATTGAAAAACTATTGGATTTAAAGTGGTGATAAAGTTTATTAAATATGATAAATTTTATTAACGTTGAACTTAATTTTTTAGCCGAATAAATGATAAATGATGAACATTTTTTTTGCTGGAAAAAGAGAAAGGATATATTTTTAGTTTCAATGATTATTAAAAACTGATATTTTTTATAATTGAACGTGATTTCATTTTTTTTATTAGTATTTTTTACGAAAATATTTTATTATACTCACTTCTCATATTTCATTATTTTTTTACGTGAATATCATTTTTTAAGTTTAATAGTATTTTTGTATATATACGAAATCAAATAAAAGGAATCCTATACGTTAACAATTTTTTAAAAATTAAAATCCTATGTGGCTCTCTAAAATCTTGGGAAAAAACTCCCCTTTATATATATACTAGTTTTGTGTCCGGGCAATGCCCGGATTGTCCTAGCTTGAATGTTAAATACGATTATATAACCCCTTTTGATAATGTAAAATATTTAGACATACGATATCATATCGCTTATTTATATAATAGTGTACTTTTTGTAGTTTTATATGTAAATAGGTATCTATGTTATTATTAACTTGATATTTTTTTATTGCACTTAAATTATTTCTAATGAATTGAAAGTATTTCTACCAAACTGAAATTATATTTTCCGATTAAAACTTATTTTTTACTGATTTTTTATGTTTTATTAAAATATATTATAAATGGATTACATTTTAAAGAACTTTTTAAGACGAATTTTATGATGGAAATAGTAATGGGTTATAAGATATTTATAAGAGTTATAATTAATTTTGTATATATGAAATATTAGAAGTATATCGATAATAAAACACTATACAACATTTTTATCTTACTAAATCCAAAATTCGCTTACTTAGCCTCATATGTGTCACAATAATACATATTTGTCGCCTACGTGGTTCGACACTTGGCGAAAAACTGGAATGCCAAGTGTCGATGTCTCGTGGCCTGGTTGCGAGTCCGGCTTTATATATTAGTGATATGATATGATACAATATGGTATGATATTAGATTAGGTTGAAGTATAGGTGTCATTTTATATTTTCTATACTAGATTTTTTTTTTTTTTTTAACATTTTGTATATTCAAAGTGATATCTTAATCTCTCTAACTTTATTTTTAGTTTTTTTTTTCGTTTACCTTTTCAAAAATTTTACTTATGTGACTTTATTGTCTTAATTTATTTGATTGATTACAACTATATAATCTTCCTATGAAATAAATTGTATACCACTAGAATTTTCTAAATTATATATGGTACTTGAATATTTTAATTAAAATATGGACAATTTGTAAATAACCACCCAAAAATGTACATGTTTTAAAAATAACCTCCCATTTAATTTTTATTTTTTATTTTTACCACCCCTTAAATTAAATAACCGCTCAGATTACCACCCATTTCAAAATTCCGATGAAGTTTCCGACAGTGGGCCCCACTTTTTTTAATTTTTTTTCTTTTTTTTCTTCTATTCTCTAGATTTCCCACTCTCTCACCCCGATTTTTTCACTCTCCATCTTCTTCCTGCCTTCCATTTCAAGCTCACTTCCAAATTCTTCCTCTTCTTCATCTACAATTCCCCACCGGCAACACCACCCACCAATTTCCTGGACAACCACCATAATCAACGCGCTATCACCTTACACGCAGCGCCGCATCTAGCCATCACTGCAAGCCACTTGCAAGCCGCCGGACCTCCATATCGAACAGCTAAAACATCAATTCACACCCACAAATCAGCCCCAAAAATAAATTAAGAAGAAAGAATAAGGTCGATTTAGGGTTCATGCTTCAATTGAATTGGGGGTTTTCTTAAATTAGGGTTCCTATTTTAAGAAAACCCCCAATTCAATTGAATTGGCAGGTGGTGGTGGGAGTTGGTGTGGTAAGTTCGTTGCGATGGTTGTGAACTTATGGTTGATTTGAATTAGCTAGTTGTTGACTATGGTTTGATGCGATAGAGTTTGCGCCGGAGGTGGATGATTATGGTGATGATGATGATGATTTTGTAGGTTGTTGTTTGAACTATTATTATTGTTGTTGTTTTGAGAGAGTGACTGAGACATCATCATCACCATTAACAACAACAGCAACAACAACAACGAAACGAATAATCTGCGAACAACATTTACAGTTCACTCTCATTATTTTAAGGTTTTACAGTAATGATTTCGTACACAAAAAAAAAAAAAAAAGGCCAAACTGGGGAAAATTACAAATGGGTTTTTGCAATTTTGTGTGATTGTTTTGTAAAATAAGTATGTAATTGATTTGAATTAGCTAGTTTGAAGCAGAAAATTGTTTGATTCAATGAAGAAGGCAGGAAGAAGATGGAGAGTGAAAAAATCGGGGTGAGAGAGTGTGAAATCCAGAGAATAGAAGAAGAAAAAGGAAAAAAATAAAAAAAGTGGGGCCCACTGTCGGAAACTTCACCGAAATTTTAAAATAGGATAATGTGAGCGGTTATTTAATTTAAGGGGTGGTAAAATAAAAATAAAAATTAAACGGGAGGTTATTTTTAAAACAGGTACATTTTTGGGTGGTTATTTACAAATTGTCATTAAAATATTTTAATTATGGGATCAAAAAAAAAAAATCAAACTGTATTAGTTACGAGTAAAACTTTAATTCTTTCTGTTACGAGTACTCCGTAGCCCTTACGGAGTACAATATTTCACAACAAAATTTCGATAATTGACAACAACAAAAAATGTGGCTAAACTAGCATTTTCTCTCTTGGCTCTTTTCATTGGTATCATCTTGCACAATAATTTATTGCACCTGGCAGAAAAATTCTCTCTTTTTCTCTGCCTGTCTAATAACTCCCAAAACAAAAAATCCAGCAAAAATGTTAACTTATTTCACAAATTCAGTTCCCAACACTTCACTCAGAATCCCCTACTTTCTCTCTCCTCAAGTTCCCACCTCCAATCCCAGGTCAATTTTCTTCCTTTTATGTCAATAATCCAATTATTCTCTTTTAATTTCTTTATTCCAATCAATTTTGTAAATATCCATTTGTTAATTCAGCAAAAATTGCTTAAAAAAAATTCAAACTTTGCTGTTTATGCAGGGCAAAAATGATGTCTTCTTCTCTACCAGAGAATCGCATTGTTGTATGTTTTTTCACCCTTTTATTTTCCTATTTTTTTGGGTGTGTATGTTAGCAAAATTAATTTGGAAATGTTACAGTGTGACTAAGACTGATGCTCATGTTAGCAGCTAGGTTGTGGAGGTGTAGTTGTGGACTTGTTAGCTGCTGTTGCAAGCTATCCTAAGCCAGATGACAAGATTAGAAGCACCAGTTTTCAGGTAATGGTAATTAATGATCTTATTTATGCAAATTTTGATGCTCTTTTTTTTTTTTTTTTTTTTTTTATAATTAAATTAATTGATAGCTAATTTATTTAGATTGTGCTAAAAGTTTTTGGATGATTTACTGCTGAAAAATGTTGTGGATTATAGGCTATGGTAGGACTAAGAGTTACTTAGCTTTTAACTGTTAAGGTTAAGTTTGAAGTTGGGAAGTATGTCAAGAAATTGAATTATGGACAATGAATTGGTAGGAAATTGATGTAGATTGTGGGATTTGAATCAAGTAGTATTTGTTATGCTTGATTGGATGTTTATGATTGGACAGTCGAAGGGAAGTCTATTTTCTGCAGAATGCAGGGAGTTATATTAGAGGATAATAAATTAGTGCAAGTATAACCCTTTTTGTGGACAAATTGTTCTAGTCTTTTTCTGGAAATATTTAGTATGGAAATCAATAAGTAGCAATCACTTGAGACAAGTTACTCTATACATTGTCCACACTCGAGTTAAGGTGTACATAAAAGATAGAACATCTTGAGCAAAATCAAGTTAAGCTGTACATTAAAGATAGAACAAATTCTCACTTAATTTCTCTGTTACAATAGGGAGCTTTGAATGTGACTCTGTGAGAAATCAAAAGCAAATTTCTGGTTTCCCTATGCTGTGTATCTCCTAATTATTTTCATATTTATTCACTCAGTGGACATACATATCACTCCACTAAGCAGAAGATAAGTCTGGGAATATATGCACTTACTTTAATCATCGATTCATCGCAAAAGTTAAAGTCACAATTTTCTAGAATATTTTTAAAATATGGTACTTGACGGTCAACAAAAGTCAACAGACATCTGTTGAGAGTAACTATCACGATGGTTTGTTCCATTGGAGGGCTTATTTGGTAAGGAAGAGGGAATACAGCATTTATGGACTTTGAACCATCATAAAAGTGATTACCAGTCATATACATGGTCTATTTGCATCATATCTTGGTTTCTAGGTGCTTGTTTTCTCTCCTTGTTGAGTGTCTGATCTTTTGTTAATTTGTTATTACATTGCCCAGACTTTGGCAGAAGAACATTCTGTTGCAACTGAAATACTAGTATTGTTTGTTAATACATGCCAATCTAAATGGTGTTTCAATTAATCTCTTTATTCTGCTTCATTTTGCTTTCTCATACACAACAATTTTGTCAAGGAATAATTTCTTGCCATGATGTTTCTAAAATTTTATAATAGTCTATATTAAAATATTTACTATGCTATTTTTCCAGCTGATACTATTGTGAATGCACTGATGAATGTTTTCATAGGTTCAAGGAGGTGGTAATGCTGGAAATGCTTTGACATGCGCTGCTCGGCTGGGGTTACATCCAAGGCTAATATCCAAGGTCTTTAATGTGCTTTTGCTACATTTCTCTCATTCAAATTGTTGTTTGTATTAGATTAGCTCAGCAGATGTTTTATCTTATCATTAATCTTAATGCATTCATAACATATTATTTTTAGGTTGCTGATGATGCTCAAGGTAGAGGAATACTAGAAGAGCTTGAAGCTGATGGTGTTGATACTTCTTTCGTTGTTGTAAGCTTATTAATTTGCTACTTTTCAATTTCTTAAATCGGGTGTTCTGGTAGTAAGATAGCTGCATATAAATAAAGAGAACCATATCAATAATGGTATTTTGATAGCATAGCTTAATAAGAAGGGCCAATGGGTGCATGATTTACAAATTTCGTTGGTTATACAGATTGAAGCTGATATAAATCTTATTATCCTGCTATTAATAGTTACTGCCTTTTTACTAATTACATAAACACCGTTCCCAATCTTTAAAAAGAAAAAAAGATTTTTCTTTCAAGGGGTGAGTATTGTTAAGGGTTCAAGTTTAATAGTTTAGGTGCCCAAGTTGTAAGGCAGAAAGTATAGTGCTATCAACTGTTAAGGTATCAGTTTTTTAATGGTTTGGGCGAGAAGGGTGAAAAAGGTAAAAGCCTGTGAAAATGTGGTGCTATCAAGTATTAACTATTGGTAACCAACAAGGGATAAGCCTTAGGTTCCACCATCATCATATTTACTGTCAGTAGGATTCACACAAAAGAATTGTCCTTTCAATCCCTGATGCATTTCTGTGACTTCTGTCCCATTTTGTATTGGAACTATTACATTTTTTTTAGCCTTATGTATGCTTTCTTTCCAATATTCTTCGGATAATTTGTCCAACACAAGGGTAGTATAATATATTCATTACCAGAGGACTAGAAACTGCTTTCTGTTGTGCTCAAATGTTGGTGAAACTCCCATTATATCTATGGAGACTCGAAGTACAAGTACCAGCAACTTACATTTAACTGTTTTCTGATCCATTATAGATGTCAGTTCTAGTCTTGTTGTTTTTTTTCCTCCCTCTATTGAAGCAATCCAAAAAAGTAAAAACATAATCATAAATCTAGGCACCGTTTTTTTTTTGGGATTTTTGCAAAGATTGGGTGTCTAATTAAATTCTGGGTAACTAGTTCAGAGTAGAGTTTGTAGCTTCTCATACATACAGAATCACAGAGAGATCCTGGGATCGTCTTTATCTAATTTCAAATGTGATTAGGATTCCTCTTAATTTCACTTTTCTAGAGACTGGTGAACTTTTGGTCCTTTGTTCTGTAACTCCCCTTCTCTTGAGTCTTGACTGTTGGTAAATGTTCCCTTAAATCATGATTATAATTAAATTTATTATACCCGTACAATGTCCTTAAGCTCATAATACTTTGTATGAAAGTACTAAGAAAAACCATGTAAGCCCTTCTAAACTGTATCTGTTTTTCATACCCCTCATTTCTGCAGGTCTCACCAGAGGGTAATTCACCATTTACCTATATCATTGTCGACAATGAAACGTAAGTTCTAGTCATAACTTTTTAATCTTTTGGCAATGTTTGTTTTGCATATTAGGAGAAGACAGAAAAGTTGACTTATTAAGTACCAGCTATTTTATGTCTATAGTCTGACATAGAACTTTGTAGCTTTATTTTTATAAAATTATATGGTAAAAACAGCAAATCATATTCTTCGTTCCTTTCTGAATCCAAATATAATTCTGAATGTTCTATTGCCTATAGGCTGTTAGTATTTAGTGATGAGCAAATTGAGCAATAACAGACTATTTGCAGTTTTTTTTTTTTTTTTTGTCTGATTATAAAAACTTAAATGACCAGGTCAGCAGAAAATCTTTGTATACGTTTTATGTATTGATGTGCTTGTAAGTTGTAATATCTACTCTAACAAATACTTAATATCCAATATATTGATATTTTCAGGAAGACTCGCACGTGCATTCATACTCCTGGATACCCCCCATTGGTACCAGAAGAACTCTCCCAGTCAAGATTAGAATCTGCTATAGATGGAGCAGGGCTTGTATATTTTGATGTTAGACTGCATGAAACTGCTATAGTAATTGCGAAAGAGGTAATTACAAAATTGTTTTGTTTCTAGTTCATTCTTGTCCTTATCAATGGATTCTGAAATGTGGATAGTCAGCCTTATGCTATTCAGCTACAGGGGCTATGCATACTTTACTGAAACTGTGGTCTTGAATGAGGATTTAGCTTGGTTTACTATATACTAGTAATGTCTGATCAGTCTTCTTTATTCAGATGATCATGTTATTCTATTCATTTTTTTTTCTTACTTTTTGATTTTGTTTATTTTTTTCATCCCACTGTTATGGAAGCACGATGTGCTTTTTCTAACTCAAGGATATCTTTAACGAGTTTAGTGTTCCAAATGTTAAGATCATTGGTATATTTGGGCTCTACTCCTTCAAAAGCCTGTTTAAAATTTAATAATGGTAACTAAAAAGGTCTAAGGATTCGTATTTCATAAGGGTGCTTATTAATAATTAATCAGGTATTAGGTAAAGAATCCTAAACATATCCTTTCTTGTCTGCAATTTTTGTTACAATGTCAGTCAATAGACACATGACCTATGTGATATCAAGTTGAATTTTCAGAGTGATATCACACATCGTAACACATAAAGCTGATGAGCTGCTTCCAGATAAATCTAATGGGGGTATCATACTGCATTCACAGCTACTGCTCATAGAACGATGGTATGGTAGGATGTACTTAACATCACTATCTGTGGCTTCTTAATAGACCGATATACGTCTTTTAAATGCACAACTTTTGCTTGAGAAAAATTGAAGGTCTTTGGAGAAATTTGTTTGCCATCCTTGCTGTTGAGACTTGACAGATGAACACTTTCACAACTTGCTGCATAGTTGCTTCGTTGCAGCTTGCTTTCAAAAGTAATGCAACAAATGGAATGAAGCAAGATTGTAGATGCAATTTAAGAATCCAAGGTCTGTTAACACTTGCATACAAAGACACAAGGGGGAGAAGAAAATATGAGTCAGAGTCCAAAGACCTTAACTAATTAAAAAAAAAAGTGGGAGCATGTTTACGTGTGAGGAAAGTGGAGGCTAAATTCGATACATCCGAATTGTTAACACAGTTTTCTGAATATAGGATTTATAATATCAAAATATACAATATTCAGTTTTTAATAGAATGGACAGTGCCCATGCTTTGAGCTACAAAAGATTGGTCATATGTGCTTTTTACTACTTTCTTGAGGATACTTGCTGCTTAAGTTCTAGTGTAGAGCTCATTTTATTGTCATAGAAGTAGACTATGGCAATTTAGTAGGAGGGTAGGATATGGATTAGTTTATGTGCTTCCTCTATTTGAAGTAAAATGTGATGTAAAGACTGTTTCTTCTTAACTAGCCATCCTCTCTCATCCCCCAAATCACAAAAATTTCACATAAGATGAATGAAATCAACATGTCATCTCTTCCAAAAAAAAACATTTCATTGTGTCTGATCTGTTTCCAGTGCAGGCAACTCGTAGAAATATTCCTATTCTAGTTGATGCAGAAAAGAAGAGAGATGGGCTGGATGAGCTTTTGAGTTTTGCCACATATGTGGTGTGCACAGCGAAATTTCCACAGGCAAGACTGGTGACTTCCACCCCTCCCCCCCCCCCCCTCTAATAAAAAAAATATATTAAAAAAACTTTTTGAGGCCTTCACATTGACTTCTTCCACTTTAAAAGTTTATTTTTTGGGTTTTTAAATTGTTTTTTAGGAGATTTCCTGCATCCAATTTTACAGGTATGGACAGAAGCTTCTTCTGTACCAACAGCCCTTCTTTCCATGTTGTTGAGATTACCTAAAGTTAAGTTTGTGATTGTGACTCTTGGTGAAGATGGATGTATCATGCTTGAAAGAAGTCACAACAGTGAGTCTTCTGTTTCTTACATTTAGAACAAGTCTTCATCAATTGGGTTCATGAATATGAACCTCTGATGATATTAGTTTAACCAACATATAATATTTTAAACTTGTGGCTTTCAGCCTTTCACTTTTACTATTCATCATGCAGAAGCTTCAAATTCAGAGGAAATGTGTATCGACGAAGTTTTTGAATCTCTGAAGCGAAAGGCACCCAGTGACGACTCCAAGCCATCCTGTGTTTCATCGGTATCAATAATGTTCCTGTTATACAAAAATTTATGCAATTGCTTGTCATATCTTTTTGTATATTACGTCCTCCTTTCTTTTTTAAAGTACTTGACTTGTTTCATTTATCACATTTGTAGATGCATAACTTTAAACATAATATCTTTAATTTTCAATAAATAAAAATTATATAAGATAGATATTCTAGCAAGATCTCACATGATTGTGTTTTTCCTTAACTATAACTAACAAAAGACAATTAAAAGAGAATATGCGAATAGTGCAAAAGTCAAATTAGGTCAAGTAATAAAGAATGAAGTATTTTGTTTGTTATTGTTGATGCACATAGTACTGCCTGCCCGGCTGCCCCAGGTCAACCTTCAGTCCTTGGCCACCTTGCTATCTGTGGCATGACTTAAGTCTCAGCTTTGCACAATTTCCCTGCTCTTCTGGCAAACTTCTTGCGCTGGCATATTGTTTGACATTCACCCGCTTCTGCAATCTCAACGGTCCAAAAACCCAGTATCTCTGTCCTGCTTGATTTCAGGATTCAATTTCTATCCCCCAATCTCTATTGTTTATTTGGGTTAGGACCTCGAGTGGAGATATGAGGATGCCTGCAACTCAGATTGGCCATTCTTAGAGATGAACAATGCATTACACATGTGTTAAGCAAATCATGAAGTAACTAAGTTAAATGATGGGCAGATCTATCATTTTGTGCTGAGTAAAATTGGCAGTGCATCATCAAAGCTCCATGATATCGATCTGAGTTAACTTAATACGCTTCTATTTTCTCTTTTGCATGTTGATATTTTCAATTCAAGGCTGATATCTGATAAGAACTCTTTTGTCCTCCATTGTGTCAATGTCCAGTCTGTGGTGACATTGAAAGCAGATGGGATTGGGACACTATGTGGGAGGCTACACGTGGGGACAGCTGAAAAGATTCCACCCTCTGAACTCGTTGATACAACGGGTGCTGGAGATGCATTTATTGGAGCAGTTCTTTATGGTATATATATGATACTTATATATATTTATCTATAAAAGCAGCTTCATTTGTCATCTGGGTCATTCAGCTGCATTCTCCGAGTCTGCATTTGTATTGCATATCAGCTTATGCACACTCTCATCTGGACTTTCTGGTTTTATATGCTGGAAACTACTGTGACCAGCTTTTTTAAGTTTCAAAATGTAAAGTAGGACATAAGCTAATTCAGAGTATGTAATATTGTTGAAATAGGGGAACAAACAAACATGTCAGGCTGCATATAAAATGGTTGACTTGAAACTATTCTTCCGTTGTTATTGAGTCTCTGAGGAACATTCTCCCCAAACCCCAAGCATACTGCAATTTGTCTCATTCATCATACTGCAATATGATTTAATACATTAATATGCGTTATACTAATTTTTTTTTTCGCAAATTCACAGCTTCATGTGTGAAGTTGCCTCCAGAGAGGATGTTGCCGTTTGCTTCGCAAGTGGTAAGTAGACTGATAAATGGGTATCTCACATCTACAATCTGGTAGACAAAGACTGTTACTTGGCCTCTTCATGTTGCCTCAACAATTTAATATCTGACTCTATTTTGTGTCAAAAACATGGAAAAAATACATCTGAAATGGTAGACTGTCTATTTATAACATAGTGTAAAGTAAGATTTACCAAACAGACAACTTACATGCTCACCCTGCATTCCATTTCTCTTACTAGGCTGCCTGTAGCTGTAGAGCATTGGGAGCTCGGTCAGGTCTCCCCCATCACTCAGATACTCGTCTTGCACCATTTTTACACGAGGGTTCTGAAATTGCTGGTCTGGTGCCATGAGTGTGCGTAAGCAAAATTGGTATATACCTTATTACCTTATAAGAAAATGTGCATTTCTACCCTGTATAATATTGTAACTTGCCCCAAATTGGCATTTCCACCCTGTATGACTTTGTAACTTGCCCCGAATTGGCATTTCTAATTACTGACTATTATGAATGCATTGGCTGATTTTGTACGGTGATCATCAGTTATCCTTTTGTCAATTCCTTAACGAATTCTTTTGATGTTCTTATTTTTTGTTGATCTTCATTATTCGTTGGAAACACTCTGTCAGTTCTCTTTTAAATACTTGATAGGGATTATGTCAGGCCTTTCTAGATCAACACTAGGTAGTTCTTATTTTTTCCTTAGTAATGTAACTGTGATTTTGTGAGTTTCACTTGTATCATTAATGTATAATAAGCCAATCTATTAAGATTAGCATACTCGTGTAGTGTCCCCATTATACATACTACTGGTGATTTCTATCTGCAATTCGTTCATAATTAGAACTCTAAAATTAGGCTTACTGTTGTGAGAGTTCTCTCTTGATTGCTTACAGTGTGACAGTCTGCTCGTATCTTTCATTCATCTCACCTTTGCAAACTAGTGCTTAAAAACTGAAAACCTGGCGATGAAAGCAGGAGTAATAGGGAAGTTGCTACTTCCCCGCAAGGAATATCTTCATCTCTGCATAAGCTAAATCGATTATCATTCTGAAACAGAACCACAACTACTGCGGACGAGCATGCAAACTGCCTGTGATAGACCTCGCCTGTTACAAAATTCTAAATTCTAAGGAGAATTTATCATAATGAAGTAGAAAATCATCCTGACACTAAACTTGTAGATAAACTAACCCCCAAATTGTTTACACTATGCTTACCATTTATCATGCATGAATTAATAACTCAATTGAACAGGCCTATAAAACATATTTTGAAATCACAGGAATGTAGGTTATGTAGCAACAATTATACATCCTGAAAAACACAATAGTTTAATTTTCAGCAAGAACAAGGGAGGCAGAGGGGACTAAAGAGTACCAGAAATCTGAATTAACAGCAAAACTGTAATAACAAAGTTTTACTGGCTTGGAAATTAGATGCCTAATTCTCAATTTAAGCATAACATTACCTTAAAGCATAATTATAATTACATACAATATCTAGGCAATTAGTACATCATTAAACAAAAGCCACCACCAACCACAACTAATTCTAAGTACTGCCAAATTACAAAAGATAAATAATAGTCAGCTTTTACCCTCATCTAAATTAAGCCTATATAATATCCAGATTACACATTACAAAATAGCTGAACATCATCAGTTAATTATCACCTAGCCAAACCTTCTCACAACAAGCTGTCTGCCTTGGAAGGCAGCCTTCTGAAGAAACTGAAGACCTGCGGTGGCAGTTTGCTCCTGAACTTTGGTGGCCTGAGATAGTATATCCCCCACAAAGCAACCACAGCCTTAATAGGAACCATATAGAACCCGATGGCAGCAAACAAGCACAATATCACAAACAAGAAAGTGGCTCTTGGATCCCTCCAACTCAACAATCCCTGAAATCGCTCTCCTTGAGTTGCCATATCTCCCACCACAGTTTGTATCCTCCCTGCTACACTTCGAAGCCTGTCATACCTCATCCTCACGAGTTCTGAACTCCTGGTTGAAGGAAAAGTATCAAACTCTTCATCGAGTTCATCAGGGTACACGTTTTCTGCATGTGAAAGCCTTGTGTCCATATGAGGAGGATGTCGAGGCCTAGACCTGTACCTCCATATCCCTACAAGTGCCATGTAAATAAGCATTGTAGGGATGATGAGCTCCGGAAAAGTGACCAGCAGAAGGTACACCAACACAAACAAGGAAGAGTAAACAGGTCTCTGCCAAGACCGGATTGCCTCAGCCCAACAAGCCATTCCAATCACGCCTGAAAGCACATTCATAAGCCTAAAGAAGTTGGCCTTGCTCTTCCTCATGCTCCACATGTGAGAGTCATGATCAAGCATGTATTCCACCACCTCACGGCCCAGAGCAGGCTCTGCTCGGCTAAATCGAGCAGTTACAACATTCATAGCTTGGTACCGGAGACTCTCTAGTTGGTTCACTGATAAAGGGTTCACATAATGCATCTTAGGAAGCAAAGGCATTGCATACATATGAAGCATATTTCCCATATTTTCACAAGAAAATCTCACAGCCAAGTGAAGCTCCCCCATTTTCTTCACTCCAGAAGCATGCAAAATTAAAAGAGGGTAAGAATGAGTATACACTCTATCAGTTTCCAGGGTAGAGAGCCTAATTCGAACCTTCCCAATACGCGAATCTCTTGCTCCTGTGGCAGCAGCAATGTTCTTATCAAGCCTGCAATTATCAAACACACCTACTGTAATCACCGTGCAAGGATCAAACACCTCCCAAGTGTACTGCTCATTCCATTTAGGCGAAAGTGAATCCACCACAGTCCTTGTCCGAACCCATTTCTGACCATATTTCGCGACACAATAAGCATCCGTCGATCCCCCTTTACCTTCCCTAATCTTCATTGGCATAAGCCCTGTTGCCCCTAATATTCCCATCTCAAGAACACCAATGTGAGGCTTCCAAAGCTGTTTTGCAGTAGGCCTAAGGTCACTGCTATACATCGTCGCCTCATCTAGAACATGGTACCCTCCATCCAATGTAGCTCGAATATGAATCCTCGACCCAAACCGACTCTTGGAAGGATCAGAAGGGTTACTGAATGCAAAATTCTGATTGTCAACATGGAACCACTTGGAGGGAACCGTCTTATCATCCCACCTCCTCTCAATAGCTGCCAACGGAAGAAGTAATCTCCCAACAACCTCCTCACGCCCCGGCATTATACGATCCTCCACCGATATCAACACATAATCCTCCAAAGGCTCAGGAACCACAAAGATCAAGTCCTCATTCCAAAAAGGGTTAGACACTGCTCTATTTGCACCAGCAGGGGAAACCTTAGTCCTCAAAACCTGATTCCCGACCTGAACCTTCACATAAAACTCCGGATACCTCATTATCGAACCACCCTTTTCCCCTAACACAATATCCTGCGCTTCAATCACATTCAACCTCAAGTACCACAGCTTAGGAGACAAGTATATCTTCGACTTTATCGAACCCAAACCATCAAGATGAACATTAGCCGCTTTCGAGTGCCAGGCCTCAGCAAAGGCCTCATCAGCTTGTGTTCCAAACCAAATTGAAATCATAACCTCACCTGCCTTGGACTTATCCCCTCTTTTATCCTCCATCCTATGCCATTGAGGTGCAAGCTGACTATCCGGTGGCACCCTTTTCGGCACCTCATTCAAATCAAACCAAACCCGCCCAATATACTCATCCTTCTCCCTCTCTTTAACAAACACTTCCACCATTGAAGACTGAATACAATCCTTCGAAAACGCGAAAACTTGATCCCATTCAGCATGATTATAACTCACCCTTTTCGTAACCCCTTTATAATTCCCTAATTTAACCTCACAAATCACCTCTCCTCCACCGAACACGGACAGCTCTCTTGCTTTCACAACCTTGACATACAAATACTGCATTTGCTCCACTAAATCATACGTCGAGCTCGTCTTATCCTTACTCTGTAAACCCCCTCCTAAATGAGGTCTCGTCTCCTTCAACGAATACTCATTCGCCAATATCATTCCATTCGGGTATATTCCCAAATTACCCCTCCCACCGCCCCCACCCATCGGAGGATTCTGAAGGGTAGTTACGACAACCGGCTTCAACTCACTCAACTCCCCACCTTTCTGCTGAACTCCGCCATTATTACCATTATTATCCCCCATTTGATTCTGCGCCGCCATTGCCGCTGAGGAATTCCCCCCTTTCTTCTTTCCCTTACCATTACTGTTATTATTGTTGTTGTTGTTATTGTTCTTGACATTGTTACCCCCAACAATTTGCACGTTATTCTCGCCACCATTCTTCGTAGAGCCAACATTATTAGAGCGGTTATCACTCGAATTGTTGTTGAAGTGAACGAGTTGTTTGGTATTAACAACAAGGTCATTTCGACACGAAACGTAAAGCTTCAAACTAATCTCACCCCTAACATGAGAAAACAAACTCCGCTTATCAAGACTATACAACTGCGCCATTTCTTCCCCTTCTTTGGCAACACTCGAACCCGAAATCCGAACTTTACCCAGAAAATTCCTGCTATTACTCGACCTTTTCTCGTTGAAAACATTCACTTCCAACGTTCTGTAAGGAAGATTAGCGACATCATTGAGGTGAAAAACAAGGGTTTCATTCCAAACAGGGTTTAAATCTTTGAATTTAACCTGGGTTTTTAGTCTCTGGTTTTCAAATTCTACTTCTACAAATGGAGATGATGAGCCTTCTCCATCTTTCGGCATTAAATTATGGGCTCCAATTACTTCTACTATGAGTTTTTCTTTGTTGTTCATCTTTTTTTTTTTGGAGGAGAGAGAAAATTGAAATGGGGTTGTGTTTTGTTGGTGTAACAGAGGAGGAGAGAATGCTTGTGACAGTAGAAAGAGAAGGAGGAAGGAGGGTAGGAGAGAGAAAATGGATGGTATTTTGAAAAAAATATTTGGTTAAGTACACGCGCGAGGCGCGTGAGAGAGTTGGAGAACCAATGGTTAAGCTAGAATTGGAAGTGTACGTTTTGTTTGTGGATGTAGTTGACATTTTGTGGTTTGGTCTTTGGCCTTAGTTACTGACTACTGTTACAAACTTACAATGTTATTAATTGCTATGGTGACGTGATCACGGATTAATGGCATAATCGAGTTAGCCAGTATAGGCATGAGATTAAATATCTCGTTTTAAATTATGAAGTATTCCGTACTTCTTTGTATATGAAGTAAGTATACCATGTATTTTCTTCTTTTTTTTTTTTTTTTTTTTTTTTTTTTTTTTTTTTGCAACTGTTTGAGTTTTCTACCATTCATATAATAGTATTGACTTGTATTACTAACTAATGTTTACCAAAATTTTGTCATGTAATATGTTATCTATTGGTTACAATTTTTTTCATCATAATATCACCATTTTATAGTTTATGCTAATACAAAATTAAAGATATTAATAATCAAAATTGTATATTGACAAGCGTGTATAGTCAAACTGTTGCAATTAAAAAACAAACAGGGGAGTAGAATTTGTATGTCCAATAATTGTATTAACGGTATGACATTAGGGCTGTTTCAAAAAAGAAAAACTACTTGTACAACCTCTTTATTCAACTTTTTTTTAATTAATAAAAAAAAAATTACTCAAAATTAAAGTTATAAAATCATATGATAGTAAATTATTTATAAGGCATGCTGCGTACTATATGTTTACATAAGGTTTACTTTAAGTATTCAATTAAAATCCCTATTGAAGCTATAAATACTTTAAACAAGTTATAAAAATTGCTAAAGTGATTAAGTAAAGCTATATGTTAATGATGGACTAATAATGGAGCCATAATATAGTCCATTTGTGCATGCAGTACATACAACAATTCACTATGCTTTTCACTTTTGTTTTTCTTTTTTTAATTCATTATTTCCTTAATAAGAAAAAAGGGAGTGGAAGAAGAAGATTACAAATCTGTATAAGTGTAAATAAATCCAACTGGAATACTGGATCAGCTGTTTGGACCAATGATACTCTAATTAAGTTTCTAAGCTTTTTTTCCTGACAGCCTAGTGCAATTATAGCGTAAAGAAAATATATTAATTGTTACATTTAATTTTTTACAAAGGCTAAACTGATCACAATTAGAATGTGAACTCCTAATAATACTCTCTTAATCCTAACGACTACTATTTCAAATTCTTCATGTTTTTAATCTTTTCAACCTTGGGAAAATTAGTACCTAATCAACCCTTACTTATATTTAAAAAAAATATATAAAAAAATAAAAATAAAAATCAATGTACATTTTTGTTACTGTATTTTTTTCTTCAGAATATCAATTCTTTTATACTCTGAAATTCGTTAAAGATAATCAAAGATATCAGTGAAAATTGTGTTTGTGACAAATATAGTTCAAAGAGTAATGAATATCAACAATTCCAATTCCCTTAAATTAATACGGAGTATTTAATACTCTGGTTATTAGACTTATTACGTGTATCTGCGTTGATGACTAGTGGTGTCAATTTAATACTTGGGCCAAACTCGGTGAGACCGGATTAGATTTATTTTAAATTTGAGTCATATTAGTAAATTATTACTCGTATGTCCATATCTACGAGTTGAAATTTAAATCAGATTGTTTCAACTTAGATCGAATTGAATTAATGACATTGATCATATCAATTTATGACACCTCAGTAATTTGATTGGAACAAAACACAAAACCTTGAAACGCAAGTACCATTCATTGTGTTGAATTTTGAAATTTAATTTCCTAGTATTAATATGAATTGAATACGAGTAAATAAAAAATCCGAAGTATGTAACAAAATCTAGAGTACAAGTAGAAGTGGGCTATTCGAAATAAAATCTGTTGCATGCAAAGTACGGAGTACTCTAACTAGGAAAGGATGAGATTAAATGCGCGCGTGGAAACAACAAAAGTAGAAGGGAGGGAAGAAGACAAAGCGCGCGTGCTAGAATCTGCAGAGAATCCAAAGAAGTGAGGTAAAAGGCGTGCATAGTACGAGGGAAAGACTGAAGACTGAATAGGGCGTAGTTATATTATATAAAAAGTGACAAGAGCAAAGAGAAAGAGTTTCTGGGTTTTGGTTTTCAATAAGTTGAGCTATTTTCGAGAATTTATGTTTGGTCTTCGCTTCCTCGAGGCGCGTGTTTCACGGACCCTTTTTTTTTTTTTTTTTGTGTCTGAAACCGTAGGTCATTGACTAGATCGTAAATAAAAGAAAAATACTCCCAACAATTTAGTGGATAAATAATCTCATGCCACAAAATCATTAAGAAAAAAAATGAATTTTATGTGACAATATGGTTAAAATAAATAAAAAAATATCTCAAGTAACAGTTTGGACAAAGAAACTCAGATTTATTTATGTAATAAATAAAAATTATTTATTACATTATATGACATTTTGATAAATAAATCAACAACTTTATTTAGTGAGCATCATTGTGAGAACTCGTTTTTAAGAAAAAAATATTGATTTGTTTACGAAAATATTATGTGATTATGTTTATCCAAAGATAAACATACTTTTTTTCTCATTTTGGACGAATACTCGTGGACACTACTTTATAGCACTGAATGGAATAATTTCAGAGTCAGTTACTCGAGGTTACCTCTATAACAATGAATGGAAAAGTTTTTCTTTTGCAAATACAATTACTCGATCCTACGTGGATATTATTCAAAAAATAAGTTTTTAAAATGACACAAAATAGGAATAAATTTCGATTTAAACAATTTTTAGGGAAATCGTTCCTTGAATATTAATTTCCACTTAACTTTTTCCAACCCCTTAGGAAATAAAAATTGGGTGATTAGGAATTTGGAGAAATATTTTTTATTTTTTTTATCAACAGAGTTATTTTTCTTTATCAAATTGTCGTTAGTGTTCACTTTTCTATTACCAATCTTGCAAGTTACCCTCAAATTTGTCAATATATATTCTATTCATCATGAGAATCCTGGTGTAAGTAAAATGTATTTTCCAAATCCAATCTTTTTATAATTTTTAATTATGAACAATTATAAAACATTAACGGTCAAAGTAATATTTTGAAGATCATCGAAAAGAAAATGGTGCAATTACTGAGTAATTGAGGAAGTATAATCGAATGAGGAAAGGAGGTAGAGAGAGTAATCGAAATAAAAAATTTAATTCACTTACTTATTTTTATACTACAAAAAAATTTCTCTACCCACACGAGTAATTGTATTTGCAAAAGAAAAACTTTTCCAAACTTGCTAAGTCGTCATTTAAACTTGTTATGATAAACTGAAAATTGTATTGTATGCATAATAAAAACATGTGGTGTGACCGTTTAAGTTTACATGGCACACAACTACACTACTTATCCAATCTAATTATTTCCATGTTTTTTTATATCCATCTATGCTTATTTCGTATTATACAATACACATAACAACCCTTACAATTTTTTTTTTGTTTTTAATCTGTGTTTGACTTGTTTTCTTTATCACGCTTATAAGCTTAAATATACCCACCCACACTCCACCCACACTCCCTAAGGACATATACAATGGCGGAGCCAAGGGGGGGTTGGCGTGGGCCATGGCCTTCCCCATGGCTGTAAATATTAATAAGAGATGGTTTAGCGAGGTTGCATTGTTCATTTTGTCTTTCTCATCTTAGGTTCGAATCTTGTCTGTTGCAATTTTTTTTGTTTATTTTGCTTTAGTGCCCTCATCACTTGTATGGAGTCGTAAATAAGTAGTACCCAAATTCAGGTCTTTGGGCATTTGCCTCTCTATTTCCAAAATGTATTTAACTAAATATTTTACTTTTGATAAAAATATTTAGTTTCAATAATTTAATTTATGTTGTTCTAGAATTGGAAATTATTGTATTTTATTTATTAAATTTATATTTTAACTAAGTATATATCAAATTGTTTTTGAATACGAATAAGATATGGGTACATTTATAAAATTTTGGCACCCCTAACAAAAAAATACTGCTCCGCCACTAGACATATATAAGCCTAACATGCTTTTATAGTCTATCAAATCCATCATACATTCCTTAATTCTGGTTGATAGTCTTATTTTTGGGTAGTCCATCATACATTCCTTAATTGGGCCTAACTTCTTTAATGGGTAGTTCATCATCACATCTCATTTTTATAAAATTCTTTTATAGCTTCAGAAATGGACTGCCCATTTACCATCTTTGCCCAATACTCTCCTGGGCCTTTTCTCACATTTACTGGGCCTGCAAGGCGCAAGCTGTCCATCAAGGTGCAAGTACAACAATTGTAGAGCTTAGAAAATTTGTTAACACTCCATAGCGAAATAAAATGCATAGAGAATGAAGGATCCGAATACGAGATCAAGTATTGGTATTGATATATAAATATAGCCATAATAAGAAATGGAGATAGTATGTAATTTTATTATCTTTGTAGAGAGTTTGGGAAATATGAATAGGTTGTGCATAGGTCTAAAATCGAACCAAACGATTTGAAATTTCCTTTTTGGTAGACTAAGTATTAAACCTATTAGTATTCTGATTGATGTAATTATGAACCTTAATTGACCATTTATTTCAGCTTATTATTTATCACACCATGCCGAATGCTAGTGGCCATCAAATTTTATGCGCATAGTGTGTGATTATGAAAATAATAGCGACATATATAGAGATTCATAATGATAATAAAGTTATCTGAACAAGAATTTTTTAAGTACAAGCTCTATAGCTTCGTGCATTGCACATTTGGCCATTTGCACACTATAAGCAGTTGAAGAAAACCAATCAAAAAACATAATGCAATCAAAGAATTATTCACATACTCTACGTTCTTCTTTTTGGTGAATTGTGAATTACTCGTAAGTGACAGGGCTTTTTTCTTAAAATTTACAAAAAAAATATTCAAATTCCTTACCTTATCTTTCCTCTCTCATCCTCTAAACAAACAAGCAGTAAATTAATCTAATAACTAATACTAAAACAAAACATTGCTAATATCATCAACTCCTAAACTATCATATGCGTCATTCTCAAATTAAAAAATTTCCCTCCAATTCTATGTATGATGTCATCAATTATTAATGATTGTTTATTTTTTATTTTTTAATCTACACATTTGACTTTGATACATAAGTGTCTACATAAAAATCAATTAACCAATTTTCCCTCCTAAATTATAGTTTCGCATACCTATTTCGTTTGATCATGGTTTCAATTTTTTTTAGTTACCTTAAATGTAAAATCAAATTCTAATCTTCATATACAACATTATGCAACAGATTATAAACTACGAGAAAGATAATTCTAAACGTGCATTGCACGAGAATATAACCTAGTTCATTAATAAAAACAGAACTGTCTCAATGAAAAAAATCGATTCATTTTTTACCCTTTGATAAATACCCTCTACTAAACCGCCCTATGAAACGGAGGTAGTAATAAAATTCTATTTCTATTTTTAAAAAGAGCGCGAGCCAATACAGTGATTGATATGAACTGATATATACGCATAAATTCTACCGCTCAAAAAACCACTTCAATTTTTTTGCTCTCAAAAATTACGAAAGAAAAAACAAAAATTCTCTGTTCTACTGTTCTAAAATCTTCGAAGAATTGTAAATTCAATGGCAAGCGAGAAGATAAAGATGGAGAAAGACGATGACAACAATGATCAAGAATCTAAACCCACCAACTCTGCTGTAAGTTTTTGACATTTTCTACTCTTATCATTAGAATCTTGCTGTTTTTCTTTGATTACCTCTCTCTATTTGTTTGCTGCATTTTCGATTTTCTGGGTTGATTGTATATTCTTTATAGCTTATTAATGGCAGATTATGAGAAAAACGTAAGTGGGTGTTTAATTTATTGGTTCATTCATTTTGACATTTTATACTCTTTATCACTACAATTTTGCTAGTAGTTTCTTTGATTATCTCTCTATTATATTCTGCATTTTCGATTTCTGGGTTGATTATACATTCTTTATTGCTTTTTAATGGCGGATTATGAGAGAAAATTAAGTGGGTGTTTAATTTATTGGTTCATTCATTTTGTCATATTGTAGAACAATTTCTGGGTATTAGTTTTACTGCTTAGTATATGAATCTTGGTTGTATAGTATGAAATTGATTACTGCATGTTGATTTAATGGGTTAATTGTACATTCTGAATCACTAAATAATGAATGATTAAGAGAAAGAAGTAAATGGGTGTTTTATTTGTTGGATTATTCAACTTGGCATGTCGAAGAACAAATTAATGAAACATACTTGCTGTCTATAATTTGTTGGATTTGTAGTTGTTGATTTACTTGAATTACTTGCTGTCTTTAATTTGTTACATTTGAAGTAGAAATCCGAAGTCAAGCTGATAAAGATTCTGGTTAGAACAGGCACAACAGCAGCTAGTGGCACCTACAAGGCCATTGCATCAGTTACAGCCTCGTAGTGGTTCCCTGATGCAACCAGGATTAAGTGCAAAACCTGTTATTGATCGAGCAGCAGCAAATAAGATTCTGAAGGATTTTGATTCCCTAAAACTATCTGGAGTATCAAGTTCACCACCAAGCCTAAAGCTTCAACCATTTGATGTTTATGTTGATGAGTCGGGATCTGTGACTGTATCTCCTGATGCAGGTATGCTTTAGAGCCTTATGAACTTTTATATTCGCCTTACTACTGATCTGAGGCTGTCACGGCTCTCTGTAAGGTTATGGTTGACAGGATATATATGTTTTACTTTTTGGGATCTGTTTGATAGTTGATCTGTACTAGTATGTACCTAATTGCTTTCTACAGGTACAGGCGTTGGTTCTCTTAAGAGAAGCAGAAGTAATTTAGCTGATATTTTGCACTCAAGTGCTTCTCAAGATGGTGAAAACAAAGGTGATTCTGATAATGCAAAGGTGCCTTCCGAGATAAATGCTGAGATAAATTTTTGGCAAAAACGAAGGAAAGAATCACAAGAAAATATGCAGAAGTTGATTCCTTCAGTTGATCCATTGCCTTCTACTGGTATAGTTATTAATGAGGGAGGTGGAAGTACTTCAAGTAATGTTTTGCTCTCGGGAGCTCAAGATGGTGAAAACAAAGATGATTCTGATAAGGCAAAGCCGCCTTTTGTTCCTCTGGCTCAAGGAACTGGGAGTGGTCCTGGTTCGAACTCAGGCAATACCACTGCTGGTGATGAGTCCAACAGATCAGTCAGCATAGCTGCAGGGGAAGTGTTATCTGCAACTGATACAGACATGTCAGAGTCTACTACAGAATCAGACGAAATACAAGGTGACAAGGAGAAATCTGATGCTTCCTAATATGGCAACACTCCAGGAAATTCCAGTGCGCGATAATAATTCAGTAGAAGAAGGTCTTGAGGCTTTCTCGGGCGATCTCTTTCACTTCTTGGAACCTTAATCCGGTGATAATATTTCAATTTTGTAGCTGAATTTTATGATGTCTATAGCTGAATTCATACTGTTCTAGTGCTACCAGATGGAATTGGCTGAAATTTGTTACAGGAAGTCATAAGTATATATAGGAGAGTATACAAAACCAGTATTACAGTACATAGTACAGGATCTATCTAGCATTTACATGATTTTTTACTGCAAATAAGTGTGTTTTTCATGGAATAAGGAGTCTTTTAGAATGTAAATACACAGAAGAAAACTAGAATGTGAATGATTCTCAATTAGCATGTATGGTAAAAACTGAGTTTCTGCCTTTGTTTGGATATCAATTAGGTACACCCTTGCATAATTCTGCCATTTATTTCCTTATATTATAAATCAGTGAAAGCAGTTTATGCATTATGAAATGATGCATCTTCATTTATTAGCCAAAAGGGAGATGAGTGAAGTTTTGGAGACTATGGTTAGGGCTGTGCGTAGGTTTAAAATCATACTCGAACTAAAAGACTATGATGCATATATGAAACATCTCGTCTGTTTAATTTATACTCGAACTAAAAGACTATGATGCATATATGAAACGTCTCGTCTGTTTAATTTATATTCGAACTATGATCTGATCCTAAAAGTATTTTGATTGATCTTACTTTTTGTACATTCAATGCTTTATGACCTTCATAGGAATTCATTTATTTCCTTTTCAATTTTTTGTCCAAGTGTCGCTTGAGGTTTTTTTTTTTTTTTTTTTTTTAACCAAATTGTCCCGAAGACTAATATATATATATATATATATATATATATATATATATATATATATATATATATATATATATATATATATAAAAGCCAAATTGTCACTAGTGTTCATTCTTTTTTTACCTACCTGGTTAGTTAGCCTCAAAACTATCAATAAATATTATGTTCATCAGAAACCCCGGTGTAAAATAATATTTGGAGATCATCAAACAAATTGTGCAATTATTTAATAATTAAGGAAGCATACTCGAATGAGGGAAGAAGGCACAGGAAGTAGTTGAAATAATTTTTTTTAATTGATTCTCTTTTTTTCTATACTCGTAGAAGTAATTGTATTTGCAAAAGGAAGACATTTCAAAATTACCTAAGTTGCCAATTAAACTTGTTATGATAAATTAAAAATTGTATCGTGCATAACACAAAAATGTGATGTGACCTGTAAGTTTACGTGGCACACAAGTGATACAAACTAAACAAGTATTCATAAGTTTACATGGCAAACAAGTGATACAACTAAACAAGTACACATTCTAATTATTTCCTTATTTTTGATATTCATTTTGCTTATTACACAACACATATAACAACCATTTGCTTATTACACAACACATATAACAACCCTTCAGAGTATGTTATATTAATCTGATTTTCACTTATCTGAACTTATCTTAACTAATTAGAACGTATTTGAATTTATTTTAGTTGTAATTTGAATTTGTGTAACCCTTATTAGATCTTATTTTTTCTGAACTGGATTTATTTGAACTTACTTTTTCTGAATTGAACTTATCTTAACTTAACTTATTTGAATTTATTAGACGTGAAATAAGTGAAAATGAGATGTACAGAATAGACCCTTAATCAGAGCTTTGCTTAGTAATGCATGTAATATATGTTATGTTTTTATTTTATAATTTTTTATTTATTTGTAAGGATAAGGGTTTTGCCGGGCCGGATGCTCTCACAAATCCACTCTGACCCAAGTTAGCGAGTTAAGCCCTTTAAAATCCCCTCCTCAAAGAGCTTCTATTGGGGTTTCATCCCCAAACACACTTTAACGTCCTTAAGGACATAGACAAGCTGCTTTTATATACTTGTTTGTATGCAAATGACCCATCAATCCATCATATATTCCTTAATTCTTGTAAAATTAAATATACTCCCCCAACACACCATAAGGACATAGACAAGCCAAACATGCTTTTATTTACTTGTTTGTAAGTTCAACTTTGTATGCAAATGACCCATCAATCCATCCACATTCCCTTAATATAATTCTTGTAGATAGAGTAATTGGGCTTAATAGTCGATCATTACGAGAGTGCACTTGCCTTTTTGGATCTCATATTTATAGAATCTTTTATGTCTTTGCCCAATACTCTCCTAGCCCTTTTCAACTGCAAGCTGTCCATCGATGTGCAAGTACAACAATTGTAGAGCCGGGAAAAGAAATGTATAGAGGATGGAGGATCAAACACGAGATCAAGTTTGGCTAACATATAACACATACAAAATTTTATTATCTTTGTGGGGGAGTTTTGGGGACTATGAAATATAATTAGGGTTGTGCGCAGGTCTAAAATTGAACCAAAAGACTAGAAATTTCATTTTTGGTAGACTAAGGATTGAACCTAAGTGTTCTGACTGATCTAATCATGGACCTCTATGGACCACTAGTGGCTATTGCCCCTCATTGACCATTATCTCAGTTTATTGTTTATCGCCATCAAATTTTACGTGCATATGTGTGATTACCATCTTGAAATACAACCATATATATCCAAAATAGCAACATAGAGATTCATAAATTGATGGAAATAAAATTATCAAAACAAGAATTTATCAAGTACAAGCTCTACCATGTCAAAAAAAAAAAAGTACAAGCTCTATTTTTTTTTTAAAAAAACAAATCAATTCATTAATCAAAAGCCATACGACATCTACAAATGAAATCTAAATCAACAAATAGATAAAATTGAATCAAATAAGAGTTTCCTTCATCAAAGCTACGATCGTTGAATAGATCTTGCACTGCGGTACATCTCTCGCACACATCGCTGGAATACACAGCCTTTTCGGAGAGACGGTCTACCGTTTTGTTGTAGCCGTAAGGATAATTTTCATCTGATTCACTTGAACGCCTTTGAGGATTTGATAACTGTTGCGATCCCGGACAACTCTTTACCAACGAACTGATAATAGGGCAAAAGATGATTACCTTTTTAATAAACCCTAACACACACAAATTACAAGCTCTATATGCATTGCACATTATAAGTAATTGAAGAAAGCTAATAAAAAAACATAATATAATCAAAGAATTATTTACATAGTTCTTCTTTTTGGTGAACTAGGGTTGTTTCACGAAGCGATATTATTGTAGCTACTGCACATGATCGAAAGTTGTGACTTTTTTTTGGCAAATGTGTACGCTTCTTTGTTAGACGAATGAAAAATTGTAGATTAATTAGTGAGCGTACAATTGATAAAAAGGATTGAATTTTGTCACAAAAAAAAAAAAAAAAAGGATTGAATTTATAATTTATTTATTCAGTTACTAACTAAACTGGTTTTTATTGTATATGCATTGTGTAAGCAAATTTCACTTTTGAAATGGGTTTGCCTGAATGTTAACATGGAACAGATATAATCGGTTTGCCAGAATGTGTATGTTAAGGGGTGTTATATTGTTGATATCCCATTTAGTCCATTTGTAAGGAGGTTTATACACAATAATACAAGTTGATAGTACCATATACAATAGCGAATTAAGAGGTAAGTGATTAACCATAAAATATTTTAAGCTCAACATAATTTTCCTAATCGATACTCTCTCCGTTTCACTTTGTTAGTTCTATTTGGAATCAATCACTTACAATAAGAAAAGGAGGAATCCTATTAATTTGGAATTTGATTGTAGCTTTGTAATTAATATTTTGTCTTTTCCTGTTTTATTTATGGGAATTGGCAGTAATTAGTAGCCTATAATAAATTTTGATTGGAAGAATTTGCCTTGTCAGCAATCCACTAGCACATATATTAACCAATTAGAATTATTTGACTTTTAAACACCTAATAAGATGTAAAGTATGTGGCTGCAGTGTCGAAACGGTTTTGCACTCAATCTTTGAGTGTAAGTATGCGAGAGAGATTTGGAGATATAGCGAGTTTGGGGACCTACTTCATGAATGTGCTGAGACATGTATTGCTGATATGTTGTGTTGGTTTGCAAAGAAGGTGAGCAAGGAGCAATTGAGAGTCTTCACATCTCTATGTTGGGCAGCGTGGCATTGCCGAAACAAGCACATTTTTGAAGGGCCAGGAGGAATAAGAGCGGTTGAGATGGCTAGGGGTTTCGTGCTATTCTCATCTGATTATGGGCTATACAATTCGAAGCTAAACGGTGGAGGACCGAGAACATATGCTTCAGCCAGTTTGTGGTCTCTACCCCCTGCTGGAGTAGTGAAATTGAATGTTGATGCTCATATCAGGGAGGGGATTGGGGTCCAGTTTGGTGTTTTGATTCGAGACAACCATGGGGGGTTGTTAGCTGCTGCAGTGAAGCATTGTGAGGCACGGTGGTCACCGGATATGGCGGAGGCTGGTGCTATGAGATACGGGGTTGAGCTGGCAAGAAGGCTGGGGTTCGAGAAGGTGGTTCTGGAAAGTGATGCACTTACAACAGTTCGAGCAATCCAGACGAGGCAAGTAGGGGCTGCACCTATTTTTCTTCTATTTGATGATGTTCTGAAGATGAGCAATGATTTTTCTTTTTTCTCTTGCAATCACGTTAAACGAACAGGGAATACGGTAGCCCACTTTGTTGCTAGATGGGATACTAGTACTTCCCCGGAACGGGTTTGTATAAATTCTTTTCCCCAAAGCCTACAAACTTTGGTGGAACTTGATTTAATTTAATTCCGCTCGTTTTTTGCTCCAAAAAAAACACCTAATTAGATTAATTATTAACAGATTATGAAAATTATTCACCCTTGAATAATGCTAAGAATATATTTTATATGGGTATATCATTTTGAAACGCCCAAAATAGTATATGAGACTAACAAAGTAAAACGAAGGGATCATATTTTGAAACATAAAAGCTAAGTTTATTTATAAAAATAATAAAAAAAAAACCATTTTTTCCCTCATCGGTTTTGGTATATTCAGATTTTTTTTGGCTAAAATATAATACAGTGATATATTTGAAGGGGGACTATGACAAGAACTAATGAAAATGAAGTTTTACCTTGACTAAAAGTTAATAATCTACCTTTAGAATAACCCTATAATCCTATATCTTCCTACAATTGAATCAAAATTTAAAATAAATGAAACCTTAAGCCCAAGCTCCATGAATATGACAACAAGATTTCAACTGTAGTACTCTATTTTGCCACCCAATTCAAGTATTACACCAGTACAAGGACATTACATCAAAATTTCTCTTTTATTCTACGGTACTTTCGTTGCTCAATCTCAGCTCATGTACTGGACATGAGTAAAAGTCGCTTCCCGAGCTTTCTCTCCACCATTGAAACCATTTTCGATAATCCACTATTCTAGAATTTCAGCATACAACGTTTCATTAAATAGCAACCATTTTACTTCTAAGTGTTCCGACTGATAATCTATGAGCCCATATCTCCTCTGGCAACCATAGTGAGTCATCACTCTCTATTATTAGTATAGAAAGTATTTCAGATATAAACAATAAAGCATAATATAAAGATTCTGGAGTAGGTATCTATTATTAGTAGTTTGGGCATTAACCACGACACCCTAACTCACAAATTGCACTACTGTTGAAAATAACAGAGCACAAATCCATAAATAGATCTAGTAGTTTAGGATTTACCCTCCAGCAGAAGAATACAACTCCAAGTAGAAACAAAGTTGCTTTCCTGAGACTGAGGGAATTCCGAGTTGGTTGACAGCAAGTAAAACATTTACCTGCTGATTTATAATAAAAAATAAAATTAGGGGAAGAATTACCTTAATTGGTGACATTGGCCATTAACAATAACATGATTAAGGAAAGTAGAAACTCGGTCTAGAACAGGAAGAGCTAAATAAGGGAACTGTAATGGTCTAAGAACAATGTACAACACAAAAAACACAGCTACCCAACCGAGCACACTTAAATCCCAAATCACGTTGTGGTATTTACACAACTCATATTCAGAGAAAGGTATTGCAAGAGCAGCTTCTATCTAGCAAAGAACATTTATAGTCAAGTAAGGCTATCCTAAACATCATATTTGGCCGTTAATCTCTCAAGTTAAAAATATTTATGAATTATAATTATAAGCTAAGATTAGGAGGTATTTCCCAAATAACGTTGATCCTAATACGTAAACTCCCTACGTTTCCCCTCAGCACTTATAATGTGTATCAGTTTTCATATCACCAATGTGGGTTTCATTCTTCTTATCTTTATTCTTTTCATTTTCCATCTTTTTATGCTTTTCTGGGTTATGAAAAAGGTTTTTTCGCTTCAATTTCTTTGACGAATCAACAAGCTAGACCAATCACACTGACGTGGATTTAAACCCCTTAACTTAATAAAGAATCTAAAATCACACAAGTAACACCCAATTGAATCAAAGGTCTTGTCTTTCGAACCCGAACTCGAACTCCAACACCCAATTGAATCAATTTTATGTGGTGGTGTGTTGAAATTCCAATGTCTAATTGTCTATCAAATGAAATGGGAATGAAGCAAGTGGTATAATAGAGTGATTTTCCTGGGCAGTAGCAAAGTGGGTCAATTCTTGCTATTTGTAGCTAAAAACAGGCATTTGGGTAAAGTTGTTTAAGTTGAGGATTGAAATTTGTATCATCTGTTTTGATTGGTAGGTTTGAAATTTGTATGGTTTCCTTGATGTATAATGATTTTATCACCTAGGTTCTGTTGTGTAGTGCTATACTGCACTAAAGGTTGGCCGTGAAAAACAACACAAGAGTCGGCTAAATGGGTAGTTCAATTTCCATGTTTGATTCTCTTTTTCGCCTCTGAACTAGTTATATCTTATAAGCTCATATCATTCATTACTAGACTCTTATCTATTGTTTAGGGGTAAAATTTTCATAACAAGACTATTTTTGAAAATTGAGTGCTACTAGCTTTATTTAGGGGCTTATCTTTAAAGTTCCTTTTTTTAGAGGGGAAAAACCCATTAATCTTTGTTCATGAATCTTTATGTGATTTGAGAAATGAAGCTATATTATCTTGTTCAATTCCATAGCATATAATAGGGCACATTGCGTTGATAGCAGGTATGATATAGCACCAGAAAAGTACTTCAGGCAACAAGAAGGCTTTGGAGTGTTCCGTGCAGCTGGGAATTACATATTGGAGCAGGGTAAAAGTGCGCAGGGGAGTCACACATGGAAGTGTGAATGTGCAGAGAAACTTGATCTACGAGTTTCATGTGTTAGTTTTCTACGTATATAAAGGAGGGAGCCCCAGTTTCTGAGGAGCTCTTTTGTTCTTCATAATGACATTTTGGAAAATAATGTGATGTTTTTCATTAATGTGATCCGTCTATGTGTCATGAGTGGAACTATGTGATCTTGACACATACCCCATGAGGAACAAAACAATGAGGAACAAGGAATTACCCTATAAATAGTTAGCTGAAATTTGTATATGTGACTTGACGTACTAGGATACAAACACCCTTATTCTAGGGTGTGTGTTGTGATTCTAATGATATATACAAACATAGAAGTATATTCAATTCTCCTAAATGATGTTGATCCATATTTAAATTGATGTTTAGAGAGCCACATGAGCGGAAAGCTTGAGCTATCTCCCACCCTCTATCTTTACTATATATATCAAACAATTACTTATATGTCTTAACATTATTCACACGTACTCATTTATGTGTAGATAAAAATTTATTAAATTTATATCGTCGCTTTTATTTGATACTCAAACAATGTTATTTGGTAGTTCAATACTACTATATGAGATTATGTGTATGGTAAATCAGCCTAGTTACTTTATATAATCATATTACAGCTTACAAAGGTGCCATAAACCTCAAGGGTCCTCAACTTGCACTTATTCAAGGAAAAGACATTCGGTTTAACAATCTTTGTGTTTCAAATAGGCGGAAGGAGGAAGACGGAGCGAGGTTTGGTGGATTCGAGAGTGAGGTGAAGAAACTGATTGAGGTATTATTTAACAATAACATCGCAAATTAAACCCTAATTCGAGTTCGATCTTTGTGTTTTTTTAAAAAAAAATTCTGGAAAATTTTCCTGTGCAATATCTTGTGGAATTTCTGATCTATTTTGTGATTTGTGTGTTGTTGTTGTTGATATTTGTTTGTATCTTGTGGAATTGATGGAATTTTAATTTAATTGATTGAGTGAATGAGAGGTGGATTGAGAAACGACAATTGAAGAAATTTGGGCGTTAAAATACTTCAATTTTCGCCAAAAATCGCCCAAATTTATAAATTTATTGGTGAGAGTTTTGAGTGGCTATTTTACAAGTTGATGAAGACGTTTGTTGTTCAAGAATTTTAGGTATTGCTTAAAGTAGGGTTTTATTTTGCGCTATTATTGTTAAATTCAGTTTAGAATTTTGTTTAAATTGTGTTCTTTTGTTGAATCTACTGGTAAAAATGGCCACGGAAGTTGATATTTGTTTGCGTTTTTCACTTCTACGCTTTCTCCAACCCTCCATTGAAGCAACTTTTGAACCTTCCTCTTCATTGAAGCAACTTGAGAGGTAATTTGTTGATTCTCCGGTGGCGTTTTCTCCGATCTCCAGGTATAGATCTTTCTCCTTTCTCTCTCTTGTTCCAATTGGTTCAATATTCATCTCTTCGATTAGATTTTTCCTTTTATTTGATGGATTTAATTTTGGTTTAATTCTGTTTTTTTTTTTTCCAAAGTTGGAATTTTATTGCTTCTGAGTTTAACTTAGTTTTATTGGGTTTTTGTATGCTTGCTGAAACCTAAATTAGGATTCAACTGTCTGATCTTCATTTCAGTGTTCATCACCCAAACAGAGCTCTTGATTTCAAGAAAATGGTGGGCCCTTATCCTTCCGGTCATCAACCCTTCTCTTTATCTTACCACTGGCGATCTCACAGGTCTTTTTGTCGTCTTTTTCTCTCCATTTTTGGTGAAATTTGTAGTTATTGAGCTTCGTTTTCATAGGTTTTGCTTTAATTTTGAACGGGTTTAGTTGGATTTTAGAATTGAGGTTGTTTTAATTCTTAAAACTTTATTCTTCTTTTTCTTTTGTTGAGGTTTATAAGGAAACATTTCCCTTCGTACCTTATTACTTTTCCCGTATTCTGATTATAGAATGTTTAAGTATGCCAGATAACAGAATGTTTTGAAATCATCTTAGCTCTACTTTTATTGATCATCTAAAAATCCCAATCTTTTAGATTTTATGACTAAACCATTTCCCTATATGTTTGTTTCTATTGTGCAGCTTCAGTGCCATACCTTGAATTTTTTTAACGATGACAATAAATGGAGGGAAGGTATGCCATTTGAGGAGCAACTTGAGGCCTTGCAAGAAGTTATTGATGAAGGAAAGGTATAGACAGCTTATAGGAAGCATGTGAGGGTCATTGCATCTTGCACACATTTTCATTTTATTGAGGTCTTTCCATAATCGGGCCTAGAATTTTTAAAAAGACATAGGGTATATTACAGGAATTGTTATAAATGAAATGCACATATGTATGCTGTCAAGTACAATGCATGTATTATGCTTCTCTCTTATAAATCAATTAACAACCAACTTAATTTAATCAACTACATGGATTCTTCGGTTAGTTTCAAACACATAACGACTACAAAATTCAGCTTTGAGGAAATTTCATGTTGGCTACATTGTATATCCTCCTTTAATTAGGCTGAGTGTTCAATGACTGTTTATTGGAGTGACAAGATTTTGAGCTTGTAAAAAACTGAGGATCATGTTTGCGGAACTGGCTAATGGTCACAAGTTATCCAACTACGCAAGCCACCATTTCTTAAGGTTTAATTATTAAAAGTAGTAATACATCTCATGAGGGGATTTTACTTTTCAATTTTTGTAAACTAATTTTGATAAAGAAGGTTTTCCTTTTATTTGTTTATTGTTATGAGGAAGGCAGAATTTAAGTAGAAAATTATATTTAAGGGAATAATACTCCCGTCATTTCAAGAAAAATGTAATTGTTTTTAGTATGGGGAGAAACCACGACAAGGCCCATGTTCTAATGCCTATCTTAAAAACCATATCAATTGAAGCACATAGCAATATGTTCACAACTCACCCATCTTCTCAGCTGTTTCTTCTCCTGTCTTATTTTTTGCTCGCTTGTTTCCTTTTCCCTCTTTTTATAACTTCTAGGATCGCCCATTTTAATGTCTCAATTTTTGTTGTAGTTTTACTTGTGTACAAAAAATGTGTTGTGAAATTTCCTTGTTGGCATGCATTTTTGTCATGTAAGTTATTTTTATTATTTTTTTGTTGCTACTTCCTGCCTTTATTGTTGTTGTTTTGCTGCATTAACACACTGTAATGTACACATGTAGGCAAGATACATTGGTTTCTCAAATGAAAGTTCTTAGGGCATTATGGAGTTTGTCCATGCAGCAAAAGTTGGAGGAATTCCAAAGATCATGAGCATTCAGAACTGCTACAATCTACTCACCCGATGTTGGTTTGAAGGTAAGCTTACCACTTTTATCTCCATTTTCTGTAACTTTTGCCTGCTCTTTGGATTTTAAGACGGTGGCTCGTTCTTTGTTCACATTATCTAAGTATTATGTTGTTATTAAGTTAGTAGTGATGTCTAATATGAGCTCGCCTTTGCTTTCGTCCAGTCCACATACGTGGTAACGCATATTATGCATGTTACATATTTGATGTTTTTGCCTATTTGTCCTATGCCTATCAGTAGAAATGCATCACTATTGACCTTTGGGGCTCTTCACTGTTCTATTAATTGTTGCCTTAACCTTTTTATGAAATTTGAGACTCTAAACCCCAATATCTAATATCATGTTCTGCATGCCTATTCTACTTAGATACAATACAACCTACAGGCAACAGCAATGTTTGGGTACATATCTAAGTATGATCTGACATGTCAATGACACAAATTTGTACCAGAGGGGACTCCTAAAAATTGGAGACGAGGATTCGACAATCATGAAACCATATCCAAAATATAAGACATCTCCATCCTGCTTTTATCTGGTTTTTTGGCTCAAAATCATTATTTTGATACATAGTTGCTGAATGACATTTTTATTGAAATATTTGTCATATTTTATGAAGTTGTGAGATATTTAACAAGCAGATTTGTTGCTTGAACTTTCCATGTGCTATTTATGTTGATTTTTTAAAGCAAGAACTTAATATGATTTTTTGAACCTAATCTGATAATTCTAATAATTGAGTCAAATGTGGTTGCTAATTCAAATATCTATTCCACAATCTAGGGTTCAATTTCACATTATCATAAATTTTTATTTTAGTATATCCAATTTAGGGGTCTTCTTTGGCAAAGTATTGAAATATTGCTCATATATATACTAAAGTTCTGAAAGATTTAGCAAGCGGATTTGCTGGTAAAATTTGTTTGTTTTACCTCACCTTTAGACAAAATGCTGCCTGTTTATGATGTCAAAGCTTTTTAACTAAGAGTTTAGCTCTAAACATATCTGTAATTACTGACTCTGTTTTGTCTATTAGTCGAGTTGATGTTTCTTAGTGAATGATGGTAGTTAGTTAACTTAGTTTATATTATTTTGTATTAGTATAATGTGTGCAGCTATAATGACAGGATTGGTATGTTTAGGTATGATTAGGCTAAACCTTAGAAATTGCTTGTTGAAAATGAAGAAACTGATAGGATTAGATAGTTTAATAAGAAGAAGCAGTGAAATTAGGGAATCCCATTGTCTTTCTTGAGCAATTGAGCATTAGTCCTATGAGTATGAATTAGACAAGGACTAATCATTTGGTTCGATGTCCAATTGTTCAACAATAATTGAGCTATGCGATTACAAGAGCTGAAGCAATGGTTGCTAATTTAGGCCACTTCACTATATGATTTGTTCAAGCAGGTCCTTTGCGTTCTCAATATCATATATACTTCTTATAGGTTTCATCATTGGCTCACTACTACTTTTTAATTTATTTGAACAATTTACTTAAGATAACATTGTTGTTTTAAACTCTGCCATAGGTTATAGTCATGAAGGGGCACTGGCATGGCGGTGTTCATAATTTGTAGTTTCAGTTGTGGTTTCTGGTATGGATAAGCTGTTGGCTTTAGGCTTATTGCAGATCAGCAGAAGTAGGATGGTAGTTTGAGCTTGAGCTTGCAGCATAGCTACATGGAGAAATTTCATCTTAGGTTAAGGGAAACTGGATAAATTAGAGAATGACAGTGCTATATGATCTTAATCACCAAATTTCAGTTTGAATCATAAGTACTAAAGTAATCTATAACCTGATTTTAATCATTGTCTCAGCTGATGAGAATAGAGGATAAGACTCCTATATCCTTGTAATAGATAGAAATTTGTTGCTGAGTAATACCAAACTAAAAAAGTGTGTTCCTTGGATCTTAAGATTATTGTAAAATTATGCTTCAAAATCACTTGACATGCAAACCATCTGTGTTGCCTGAGTTGTGCGTTGACCTGTCAAAGGAAGTTTACTCGTAAGTGACATGGCCATGCTAGCTAACTCTAAGTTGTTTGAGTACAAAATTCTTTACTATGTGAGGTTCCAGTATTTCAATTCCAAATCTTTCGCATACTGCTGGATTAAGCAAAATTTGGAAAGTGAACCTGAATTGGATTGAACTTTCGCATACTATGTGAGGTTCAAATCGTTTAGAATTTAAGGGTTTTGTCAATTCAATTCAGTTCATTTTGATATTGTCTCTCAGGAATTTGTCATGAATTTACAACCTTCTGAAGCTGAAGCAAGTATTGACATCCAGGTTCCACCTACAACTAATCAGAAATCACTTGAAAGGAATATTGCCGAGGATTGGGCTCCTTCTTCTTGCAACATGACATTTGAGGTAACGGTTGCTTGATTAACAAGATTTTTTTCTTGCTGAATCAAACAATGAAATAATAACCATTGTTGCCTTGCATTGGGAAAGCATGTATCAGCAAATTCAATTTCATTGTAACCTGCTATCACCTTATCTCTTTGCATGCTTATGCTATTGTTTGATGAGATGGTATATGTTGTGCTACTGTAGTTGTTTCAATTGTGATGGTTCCCTATAGCTCTTTATTTATTTAGAACTTGCCTCGGAAAGGGAATAAAGTATAGACTGCATCAGGATTTAGGAATGTGAAAAGCTTAATCTCAAAAACAAGAAATGTCAGCAAGAGCACTAATCTTCTCTCTTAGCATCTGAACCTGTTATGTAAATTCCTATTCATATGATCACATGTTGAATGTTTCTTCTCTGATTGAGGCCTTGTAGGTCACTTATCTGTGCTATAAAGCTTAAAAATTTGTAAGAATGTGTTTTATACTGGCTTCAATCAAATTGTTTTTATTTAATTCAATTATTATTATTTTTTAATTTATAATTTTCATTATTTTAATATAATCATTTAATCACCGAGGCATTCTGATGTGCCATCAATTGCTGCTGTAAATTTCTACACTCCTTCCTCGTCATTTTTCGAAAAATTGACAAGGAAAATTTGCTATCAACATTAGTTGATGTTGTTTGTTCTTATGCTCTTTAGGTTGTTAACTACAGGGAATGGTCGTTGATTTCACAATACAGGGCATCTAAGGAGTCAGTCTCCTAAGGTCAAAATGATTTGACAATTTTGTGTCTAAGATGAAGGTATCATGAGATACGTTTGCGGAAGATGTTACTTGTGTAAATGTTGTCTTAAGCCTAAGCAGTTCTAAAATGGGTCATTATAGGCTCTGCTTGATTTCTATGTCAGTTATGGGAAAAGAAAGCCTGAACATATTATCGTATTTAGGTACGTGTTTTTGCCTAAGGTTTGCCCATGACTATCATCCTTTGATAATTTTCAACTTTCGTAACCAAACATATTCCAAACTCTTGGCAGGCTTGTAAAAACCTGGATGAGAAGTGAACCCAAAGATTGTGGTGATTGTGGCTCAGAAGAATCACCATACCAAGTTTTTCCGGCCTAATGGTCTTGAGAATGTCCCTCATTTAAGAAATACAAAAGATGCTACATGTTTGGCTTTGCTGGTTCTATTCCAACACTTTAATAAAAATAACTGGTTGTTGGCTTTGTGGGTTAGTTTGATGTAACTTCTAAATTACTACTCAATAAATGTAATTTTAATTTTTACATCATACTTGTATGATTGTACCACATGCGTAATTTATTCAAAATAAAATATAATAAAAGTAATAATTTCATAAATAAATAAATTAAGTTATTAATAAAGGAAACCGATCCTTTTGCACCAGAATGACGAGGTATTACGGAGTAAAAAAGAAATTTGGGGTTTATATTTTGAAAGGTATGATCTATGAATTTGTATCCATAACTTTGAAATGCTGATGTTTTGGCCAAATGGTTTTGCTTTTAAGCTCATTATAAATCTTGGGTTTATTTCCTATTTGTAATTTATTTTTTGTTCAAATCTTTTAGTAATGGATAAATGTTGTATCTTATAGCTTTGTGCATTCACAAATGTGAGATTTAAGCTATAATTTTCTTTCGTTAGTGAGCATACTTTCGCTATTATGAGTATCTTTTGGGATTGAAGAACATGAATTTTAATGAAAAAGTATGTTATCAAACTATTTTTGTGATTTTAAAAGTGGGTTGTTTTTTTAAACCAAAAAAATGATTAGTTTAAAGATTAATGCTTATTCATACTCAATTAATAAACCTAACCTTAGGCAACCACTTAGACTTACTTTCCAAAGAGAATATCTGAGTTAGTTAAGGACTCAAAAACACCTACATTTATAGATAAACAAATTACCCTATAAAATTAGCATAAAATACATTTTCAAAGTGCCGTTACTTTATTCAAACATATTCCACCTAATTTTCAGTTAAATCTAAATAAAATTAAAACATGATAATATTTCTCCATCCATGTTGACTAGAAAATTTATATCCTATTTTTACTAACAGTTACAGTTGAAGAATTCAATTCAAAAACTCCTTTATCATAAAATAGCAAATTAGTTTTCCCAACATAACTTGCCATTTCAGCAATTACACCTTAAACATTTATGTGACACCAATTATATATATATATATATATATATATATATATATATATATATATATATATATATATATATATATATATATATATATATATATATATTTTGACAGCAGCAACACCAATTATATTACAGCTGGTAATTCAAATGTAAGCTAAAAATAAGGTATGAATTCAACACTTAAACTAAAACTAACCTAATTCTACTATAAGTTCCCTACAAATACTATAAAAACACCCATTTCATATACCACATATTTAAACGACATGCATGCACTTCATTTTTCCATAGAGCTCCCAATAATATATACAATGTAAAAACACAATTTAAGCACAAAACCAGCATCATAGTTAAAAGCACCAGATTAATTACCCAACTAAATCATCATACCGTCGAGGGGGCGTGTGCATCGCGCACGTTCCAATGACTAGTAAATAATAAAAGTGAAATAATAAAATGGTGCAGAAATCAAATGCATAAAGTTGTGACTCTTGTAAGTGGAGATAAACTGAAATATTAATCTCAGAGATCAAATACTCCCGTATTACGTTTTGTTCTTCTCACTTTTTTAAAACTAAACAATCCAAACTCAAAATTAATTCTCCTAGACTGAAAATACTATGTCTTTGTTTAATATTTTTGATTTATATGTCAAAATAAATATAGTCTTGTGGATATTTATTTGAATTGTCATAATAAATAATTTGTTAATATTCAATTATTTTAATTTTTTACTTATTGATAATTAAAGATATTTACTAATTAATTTTTTTTAAAAGTGAAGAGAACAGAGCATATAACTGATACTAAGACCCACTACTATTTTACAAGTACTCCACATTATCTATCTCGGGAGTATTTGATATCGTAAAAACTCTTAAGTTTTTTTTTTCTTTTTTAAAATAAACATGTAAGTAATTCGGTCTAGCTTTATACTGCTTATATTCATCATATTATTCATATATATGCATAGACATTTACTTAAACAAAACCTTACTATTCAATTTATAAAGTCAGTTAAATACGACTTAAGTTACATTAGGAATTCCCCTCTACGGGACTATTTGTTTTTGGTGGGAAAACCTGTTGATGAAAAATAGTAAAATACTAAGTATTAGTCGGATTGTATGTAAAAGGCTATATTCCATAAATTGAACTTTATTAAAAGGTTATATGCCATGAGCTCTATTAACTAGTTAATAAGTTCAAAAAACAAAATAATTAAAAATATTGAAAATAAACTAAGACTAAAAAAAAACTTATAACCATCAAAAATCTAATAAGAGTGTCTAAGACTAATAAAATTTTTTAAAAAAATCTAAGGATCAATTTGTGAAATCTATTTGGTCGATTAATACTTCGGTCATTATCTCGTCATATAAACTATCAAAATCCGGCACGAGATCCTGAAGATCACCATAGATGGAGTTATTCAAGCCATCATCGTTGTAGCTGATGAGGTTGTTGCTGTTAACCAAGCCATCATTATTGTCGTAGCTGATGAGGTTGTTGTTGTCAACCAAGCCATCAATATTATCGTAGCAGATGAGGCTGCTGCGGTTAACCAACTCGTAATCATAACCTACAGAATGGTAACTGTTGTTGGTGACAGAGAAGGTGTTCGAGCTACTGTTGGAGAGTTGTTCATTGTTAATTTCTTGCTCGTGGCTATTGATGTTTTCCTCCACATTAGATTCTACTACTTCTTTATTTTCTTTTGCAACTTGTGCATCTTGTATTTCTTTTTTGGCTCCTTCATGGTAGTAGATTCTACATAGCACATAATCCAACTGCATCTCATCCACAAAAAAAATAAATTAATTATTTCCGTTAATTTTAGTTGCAGCAAAGGGGTATTATTGTTATACTAAAAATTAACGATAATAATAATAATAAGGATGGGAAGAATTATAAGCGTACATACCCTCATACTATTATTGGTTTCTTGTGGATGATCTCGTTTCCTCTTAGACATTAATTTGGGTTGATCAGCGACTCGTAACTCCAGCATATGCCATTGCGTCTTCTCATTATTATTCTCTTTCTTATCCTTTTTGTTATTGTTAGGTTTTCCTTTGAAATACACTAAAGACCTTTGGTGTTCGATCAACGTACCATCATCATCTATGATTGGGTGGTCTTTTCCGGTAGCCTTCCAAAATCCATCACCGGCTTTTCTATCAGGACGACTGCCGTTCTGGTATTTTCTATTCCGTGATGTGAAAAAATACCAACTTATACTTTTTCCTTTTCCTTGTGGTATGAATCTGGATGCAAGGTTTAAATTACAAAAACAAATTAATAATTAAACTTAAAAAAATTTCATATCCTAAATGATACAGTAGTGTCTTCTCACAATATCTAAAAAAGAAAGATATATGCCTATGACAAGTAGGTTTTTTTTTTTTTTTTTTTTTAAAAAAATATTTTTTTATAACCCTAATCCAAGCAAATTACTTAAATTCAATTAAAAATCTCATACTGAATTATGCGAGTATGGGTGTGGTGGTCCGTGACTACCTGGGTCAGCTAATCATGACAGCAACGAAACACATACACCATTCGTCACCAGAATGTGCTGAGGCGCAAGCTATACGATATGGTCTGGGAATTGCTCGAAGGTTTGGTTTCAGGAAGATATGTGTGGAATCCGATTCATTGAACGTGATTAAGGTCATCTCATGCCCGAAAAAAGGCAGGTCACCTATATACGCTGTTTTTGATGATATTTTGATCGATAGAGCTTTTTTTGAGTCGTGTATTTTCTCTCACACGAAACGGAGTGGTAATACAGTAGCTCACTTAGTAGCTCGTAGTGATGTAGGGGACGGTTTGGAAGTTGTGTGTTTCCCTCCGTTTGCCCAAAGTATTGTAACACTTGCTACTTTGGATTTGGCTTAGTAATATAATGGCTCTATCTTTCTTTTAAAAAAAAAAAAAAAAAAAAAAAAAAAAATTAAAAATCTCATGCTCCGTTTAAATTTAAATTCAAAATTTGCTGAATTAGGTACGTCTTAAAATAAATTAAGGAGTTGAGACAAATAAAATAAACCCTAATTCTATTTGGCTGTCTACCCCGTGTGGCTATGGTTACTTGATTAAGGGATACTAGGTGAAGGGTTATTCAGTTACGTATACACATAAAACGCGTTGAATATGTAATTTTAATTTGTGAAGGTTTAAAAAGTAAGAATTAATTTGGAAAATTAATAATTATGCACAAACAACAAAGAATAGAGTAAATAAATTACATGCTTTTGTGACTTTAGTTATTAGAATTAATTTGGAAAATTAATAATTACGCACAAACAACAAAGAATAGAGTAAATAAATCACATGCTTTTGTAACTTTAGTTATTTTTGGCTTGCATACAAGAGGTAGAAAAAAAAAAGTATTAGTGGTGCAATTGTACGTACCAGTGAGATGTTCAGGACCATAGACATTGATATTGTCAACTTCATGTATGGGATTCATAGGCAAATCAAAGCCATTGATCTTGGGTTTGAGATAATGATTAATTAGTTCTTTTGTATAGGGTTCAAATCTGTAGCCGGGTGGAAGGTTATCGAACGATTCTCCGGATTTTTCTTCCATAGCTTAGTATTAGAGGTTTAGGGAAAGAAAGTTACGTTGTTGATTAACTAATAACTGCGATAATCAAGATTACCATTATAATGCGTTTTCAATTCACTTTTATAGTAGGAGGTTGACCTTTGGCCAAGCATGCAACATGAAGATAGAATTTTGATGAAATTTGATACGGATATAATTCTATAGATAATAGGATAAGATATAGTTAAATATCATTAACTAACCAACTAACCGAGTATAATGATAAGATATAGTTTTGGGTTGAATGCTGGTGTTTATACCTTGGAGGATGGAGCTATTTTGACCTTTGATTCATCGGTGGATCGTTGGACTGGGATTTTCTTCAAGGTGGTTTGTGCAACATATGGAGTACCCTGAATGTGAAATGTTGGGTTAAGTCGTATGTTGGTTAGGGATACCATCAGCATTATTTTGTATGGTATGCTCTTTTTGTAATGAACTATTGTTATTACTGGATTTTTCGAACGAATAGTTGCTTCAACTCTTGCTTTTGTTATTTGCTACTATGTACTCCCTTCGTCCCCTTTTATTTGTTATTTGCGACTATGGACAATATTGTGATTTTGTCCTGGTGTTTCATGATCAGATTAAAAATCTAAAGCTCAATACTTTAAAGTCATTGGTGTTTTATTTAGCTAACAGGACTGAAAACCGCCTCTTTCCGTTGGTATGTAGATCTTAAACTAGCATTAATCTGGGATTTCAATGAAGATGCCTTGAGTTTTAATGGTACAAATAGGATCAGCTAAATGGTTGTGTTTCTTGGATCAACACCAATTTGTTGTATCCTTCTCTTTGTTTAGTAACTCTGTATAATTTTGAGGCTACATTTATCTTTCTCTAGTTAAATATAAACAAGAGAGCAATCTAGGCTAACTAAGCTTGAAGCCTTGAACAACATAATAAGTACGAAGTATTACAATGTCAAAGTCAATTTTGCGGTTAGGGGAGAAAATCAACTATTGTAGGGTTTTTTTAATTGCCAAAAGAAAATATATATATATATATATATATATATATATATATATATATATATATATATATATATATATATATATATATATATATATATATAAAATAAGAAAAAAAAAAAAAAAAAAAGAACGCGAGCCAGTAATATAAAGTATAAACCACTTCAATTTTATTGCTCTCAAAAAAATACAAAAGAAATACAAAAATTCTTTGTTCTAAGATTTTCTGAGAATTGTAAATTCAATGGCAAGCAAGAAGATAAAGATGGAGAAAGACGATGACAACAATGATCAAGAATCTAAACCCACCAACTCTGCTGTAAGATTTTGACATTTTCTATTCTTATTATTTCAATTTTGCTGTAATTCTTTGATAACCTCTCTATTATTTTCTGCATTTTCGAATTTCTGGGTTGATTATACATTCTTTATTGCTTATTAATGGCGGATTGTGAGAGAGAATTAAATGGGTGTTGAATTTCTTGGTTCATTCATTTTGACATTTTCTACTCTTATTATTACAATTTTGCTGTTTTCCTTTGATAATCTCTCTATTATTTTCTGCATTTTCGATTTTCTGGGTTGATTGAATATTCTTTATTGCTTATTAATGGTGTATCATGAGAGAAAATCAAGTGGGTGTTTAATTTATTGGTTCATTCATTTTGTCATATTGTAGAACAAATTCTTGTTATTAATTTTACTGCTTATTATGTGAATTTTGGTTATATATATATATATATATATATATATATATATATATATATATATATTAAGAAATTGATTACTGTTTTTTGATTTAATGGGTTAATTATACCTTCTGAATTATTCCCTCCATTTTTAAAATACTTGCTCTGCTCCATACGCGGAGTTTTAGTAGAAATTGGGTAAAATAATAAAATATGGAGGTAGTGGGTAGGTAGAAGAATGAAAAATTGTAAAGCGCAAAAGTAGTTGAGAGAATTGAAGTAGAGAGAATATGAAACTAATAAAATATAATTTATATTGGATCCACTAGTTGAGAGAAATGAATTAAATATTGTAAAAGTTTTCCAAATAAGGAAATGGTGCAAGTATTAAAAACGGTCGGAAATGGAAAGTGGAGCTGTGGAGCAAGTATTTAAAAATGAAGGGAGTACTAAATAGTGGTTAATTAAGAGGAAAAAGTAAATGGGTGTTTAGTTTGTTGGATCATTCAACTTGGCATATTGTAGAACAAATTAATGAACATACTTGCTGTCTTTTCATTGTTGGATTTGTAATTGTTGATTTTCTTGGGATACTTATATAGTAGTATTAAAGGTTGTTTAATTTCTGGGTATTTCAGTTGAATCCTGTAGTTGTTGATGAAGTTAAAACCCGAAGCCAAACTGATGAAGGTACTGGTTTAGAACCTGATGGTAGTGAGAAACAACAGGCACAACAGCAGCCAGTGTCAGCTACAAGGCCTACAACAAATAGTCAAGCCTCATCAGATCAGTTGTCGCCTCGTTCTGATATAGATCAGCCAGGATCAAGTTCAGATTCTGCTTCTAATCCAGACCCATTGCATCAGTTGCAGCCTCATCATGGTTCCCTGAATCAACCAGAGTCAAGTTCAAAACCTGTTATTGATCCAGCTGCAGCAAATGAGTTTCTATTGCATATGGATTCCCTAAACCTACCTGGAGTATTGAATTCACCACTAGGCCGCCTAAAGCTTCGGTCACTAATCAATGAGTTGGGATCTGTGACTATATCTCCTGATGCAGGTAGATTATTTATATTCGCCTTACAACTGATCTGAGGCTGTCATGGCTTTATGTAAGCTTATGCTTGACAGGATATGGTCGTAGCTAGAGATTTATATTTGTATTTAAGCAAGTATGTACATATATATGTTATACTTCTTGGGATCTGTTTGATAGTTGATCTGTACTAGTGTTCTCTATTTTCAGAAAATCTATTGAATATGTTTTCTTCATTACTGCATACCTAGTTCTTTCTACTGGTATAGGCGATGGCACTCATAAGAGAGGCAGAAGTACTTCAACTAATGTTTTTCACTCAAGAGCTTCTCAACATGGTGAAAACAAAGGTGATTATGATAATGCAAAGGTGCCTTCCGATCTTTTGCCTCCTACTGGTAAAGTTGATTCAACCAATGTTTTTCATGGTCTTGGTGATTACAGAAGTCAAATTCAATATATAAATGCTGAGATAAATTTGAGGCAGACAGTATCAGAAGAAAATATGCAGGAAATGATTACTTCAGTTGATCGATTGCCTTCTACTGGTATAGTTATTCATGAGGGAGGTGGAAGTACTTCGAGTAATGCTTTGCTCTCGGGAGCTCAAGATGGTGAAAACAAAGGTGATTCTGATAATGCAAAGCCGCCTTGTGTTCTTCAGGCTCAAGGAACTGGGAGTGGTCCTGGTTCGACCCCAGGAAATACCACTGCTGGTGATGAGTCCAACAGACCGGTCAGCATAGCTGCAGGGGAAGTGTTATCTGCAACTGATACCGACATGTTAGAGTCTACTACTGAATCAGAAGAAATACAAGGTGAAAAGGAGAAATCTGATGCATTCCAAGATGGCAACACTCCAGGAAATTCTAGTGCACGATAATATTTCAGTTGAAGGTCTTGAGGCTTTCTTGGGTGATCTCTTTCACTTGTTGGAACCCTAATCGGTTGATAATATTTCAAATTTGTAGCTGTATTTCATGATGTCTCTAGCCGAATTCATACTGTTCTAATGCTACCAGATGGAATTGGCTGAAATTTTTTACAGGAAGTCATAAGTATATATAGGAGAGTATACAAAAGCAAGTAGCTAGTAGTACAGTATATAGTACAGGATCTATCAACCATTTACATGATTTTTTTTACTGTAAATAAGCAGGTGTTATTAGCACTGTTGTTTGTCAAGGAATAATGAGTCTTTTAGAATGTAATACATAGAAAAGAAAACAAGGATGTAGATAACTCTCAATTAGCATGTATGGTAAAAACTGAGTATAATAAGATGATGCCTCTTTTGCTGGTGTACACCCTTGCATAATTTCTGCCATTTATTTCCTTTGTTTCGACATCAATTACGTACACCCTTGCATAATTTCTGCCATATTTTTCCTTATATTATAAATCGGTGAAAGCAATTTATGCATTATGAAATGATGCATATTTTGCTGGTGTCCATCTCAAAACACAACTACCTTTGTTACTTGAAAATTCAATCCGAACCTATCTTATTCTGTACTTATTGTTACTTGAAAATAATTAGAGATTCACAATGAAAATAAAATCTTTAATACAAGAATCTATCAAATATAGGCTCTATAGCTTCATGCATTGCACAGTTTAACTAGTTGAAAATTAAAATAAAACTTAATGTAATAACAGATTTAACCAGTATGATTCAAGGGACACTATTGATATTAGCTTCCATAATATCTACATACTCTAATATTTTCTTTATTTCTGGTGAATGAGCTGTAACTTACACGAGTATGAATTAGACAGACAAGAAGTTTCATATGAGAGATATGAACAAGGAAGATAAGAAGGTGGGATAAGGATAAAGAAATAATAGGCGTGATAAAAGGATAAAAAAAATGTTTATGGGTTAAAAATTAGATTAGATTAATAAGAAAAACCAACTTTGCTGACTTATTTTTCTCCTCTCTACAATATTTGTTCCCATTTCCCTTATTATCCCCATACCTTTAAACAAACTAAAGAATATCAAGACCCCTTTCTCTTATCCCTATTTATCCTCGCTTATCCCTTTTAACCAAGTTGTGAATGAAACTGAATGAATTGAACCAAATTGCATTAAAAAAAAATAAAATTCTGTAGATACTTTTAAAAAAGAATAAGTAAAACAATCAACAACGAAGGGAATAAAGTAGAGCTGATAATGTTTGACCTGGCTCGAAAATCGTCTAGGCTAGGGCCAACTTGGCCCCTTTTTTTATATTACATTTTTTTTTGGAAAACCTAAAATTAGTTTATAGTCATATTTTCCACTCAACCCGAAATAGCGGGTTTGACCACAAGTTTTTTTGGCCAAAGTTGGATTCAGCTTGGCCCAATTATTTAGCTCAAAATGAGCCTACTTATTTCACTAAAGCCCGGCCCATGATTAAGTCTAGAATAAGTCAATTCATTTCTTGCCAAGCTAGTGTATTTTACTAAGTTGGTGAACAAGCCAACCTAGGTAGGCTTAGTTCGAGCTCAAAACTCCTAAAGGTAAGCTTGGCTAAGCTTGAAGCCAAGCTTGACTCAAGGCTCGACGTTCGATCAAGGCTTGTTATTCCCAAAATTAGCAAGGCCCAAATGGCGTCCATTGCCAATTTGCCATTGTATGGTATACTGTATTGCATATAATATAGACCTTCTTATTAGAGTTTGAATACATTTTGTATTCGATTACTGAAGGCAATAGCATCCATATATATAGAAGTACAAGCAACATAGGATGAAACCCGTAGCTTATACTAAGCCTAAGAATAAGGCTAGATACTAGGAACTAACCTAGGAGACTATTAAAATACAGCCTGGAGGAAAATAACAAATACAAAGATAATGACTAATAACAAATACAAGGATAATTAATAATAACAGAATATTGATGCTAAGCTTATCACTTAACACTTCTACCGCTAAAAAAACACAATTTAAAATTTGTTGCACTCAAAAAACATTAAAACCTCTGTTTTTCAAAAATAAAAAAACAAAAGAAAAATTCTTATTTCCTCTGCATAGTGAAGACTGATTAAACCCAATCATTTTCATCTTGGAAGATTGTAAATGCAATGGCAAGCAAGAAGAGAAAGTTGGAAGAAGATGAGCACAACAATGATCAAGAAGATGAGCACAACAATGATCAAGTAAGATTTTGATATTTTCCACTCTTATTATTAAAATCATGCTGTTTTTTTTAGATTATCTTTTGTGCATTTTCCATTTTCTTGGTTGATTATACAATTTGTACACCTTATTAATGGAGGATAATGCGAGAAAATTAAATGGGTTAATTCAACTTGTACTGCTTAATATATGAATCTTGGTTATTTATTATGAAATTCCTGTTTCTTCCTTTGTTTGATTGCTTACTGCATTTCGATTTACTGGGTATTTATATTATACCTTCTTAATTACTCAATAATGGAGGATTAAGTGCGAAAAAAAGTAAATGGGTGTTGATTTGATGGATCATACAACTTAGTATATTGTAGAACAAATTAATGAGACGTATACACATGCTTTTTCTTCTTGGTTGGTTTGTAGTTTATTGATTTTCTTGAAATTCATATATTTAACAGTATTTAGTGGTTGTTTGATTTCTGGGTATTTCAGTTGAATCCTGTGGTTATTACTGGTAATGAAGTTCGCAGCCGAAGCAGAGAAGATGAAGATACTAGTGTAGAACAACAGCAGTTAGTGTAGCTTCTACAGATAATCAGGCCTTATCATATCAGTTGGCGCCTCGTTTTGATCCTGTTTTCAATCTTGACCCGTTCTTTTATCAGTGGCAGCCTCATTTTGGTTCCCTGAATCAACCTGCATCAAGTTCAAATCCTACTTTTAATCCAGGCCCATTGCTTCAGCAGCCTCCTTGTGGTTCCTTGAATCAACCAGGGTCAAGTTCAATTCCTGCTGTCACTCGAGCCCCATTGCATCAGGTGCAGCCTCCTCGTGGTTCCTTGAATCAACCAGGGTCAAGTTCAATTCCTGCTGTCAGTCGAGCCCCATTGCATCAGGTGCAGCCTCCTCGTGGTTCCTTGAATCAACCAAGGTCAAGTTTAAAGCCTCTTTTCGAACGAGTCCAATTGCATGAGTTGCAGCCTCCTCGTGGTTCCTTGAATCAACCAAGGTCAAGATCAAAGCCTGCTGTCAATCGACCCCAATTGCTTCAGTTTCTGCCTCCTCATGGTTCAGGGTCAAGTTCAACTCCTCCTTTCAATCAGGTCTCATTGCATGAGTTGCAGCCTCCTCGTGGTTCCTTGAATCAACCAAGATCAAGTTTAAAGCCTATGTTCGATCGAGTCCCATTGCATGAGTTGCAGCCTCCTCGTGGTTCCTTGAATCAACGAAGGTCAAGATCAAAGCCTGCTGTCAATCGACCCCCATTGCCTCCTCCGAGTAATGAAGCGCAGCAAAATCTCCTTCCACCATGTAGCAGTACTCAAGGGCCTCACACTCAGTCAACATTGATGACTTCGCAGCAGGTTTGTTTTTGATTCTTGACACAAGCTTATTAAGGAATTAAACAAATTTAACAGCAGCAGATCAATGTTGGACTTCTAGTAGAGATACATTTCTGTATGAACATGTGTAGTATCTTGTATGCAATGCACCAATATGAAACCTCATCACTCATGAATTTCGGGCAACTCTAATTTATACTGGTATATGCAATGCACTGTCCTGACACTCACAAAAGTTGTTAGAAGTTTTTTCGTTTTGATCCTGTGCTACTTTTGTATATGATGAAATGCACTAATATAAAAGTTTTGCTGAGGATAATCATATTCTGATACTTTGATGTTTTTTGGAATGCCAGTTTTCGAATCATATGGGAGATAGGATTAATATGATGCTAGATCTAATGAATGGTCTCAAAGCTACTTACGAAACTATGGAGGCTGAGTTATATGCTATGAAGCAAATAGTGGAGCAAATTTGGCCTTCTACTGGTGAAATTGATTCAAACAATGTTCTGCCCCCGGGTGCTTTTCAAGGTGGTGGTGACTACAGAAGTCAACCTCAATGGATAAATGCTGATCATTTTAATTCGAGAGCTCAAGATGGTGATTCTGACAATGCAAAGCTGCCTTTTGTTTATCCGGCTCAAGGAACCAGGAGTGGTCCTGGTTCGACCTCAGGATATACTACTGCTGGTGATGAGTCCGAGGGACCGGCCAGTATAGCTGCAGGGGAAGTCTTTTCTGCAACTGATACAGGTGAGGAAGAGAATGCTGATACTTCCCAAGATGGAAACACTCGTGCGCGATAATGTTTCAGAAGATGATGATATTCAGGCTTTCTTGGGTGATAATGTTTCAAACTTGTAGCTGAATTTCATGATGTCTCTAACAGAATTCATACTGCTCTAATTCTACCAGATGGAATTTGGCTGAAATTTTTAACAAGAAGTCTTATGTCTAAGAGAGTATAAGAAACTAGTATAGGATCTATCTAGCATTTACATTTTTTTTATATCGCAAATAAACATGTGTTATTAGTGTTATTTGTCAAGGAATAAAGAGTCTTTTAGAATGTATGGTAAACACTGAGCTCCTGCCTTTGTTTAATCATCAATTATGTAACGCCTTTGCATAATATCTGGCTATAATTTCCTTATATTATATCCAAACAAAAACCTATGTTAGTTTGATCTTCCTGCTGTGATACCATGAAAGATAATTGTATTTACTTGATTAAAGGCCAACAAACTATGTGTACATAACAAAAAGATAAGCATAGAGCTAATGATAAGTATAGTATATCCCTACAAATATGGAGAAGAGATAATATCAAAGGTTAATTATCAAGTATCTCTATCACTAGATACATTGATCGGTTGGTTGAAACGGAGCTATGTGTGTTAGTTACATGCTAGTCATGCAGCTAATTAATTAACGCTCCAAATGCACTTTGTAGATTCATACGGTGTACTATGTATGTGATGATTGTGTTAGTTTTGTGAAAGAGGGGTTCAAATTGCATTTAATCCCAAAAAATAAAAAAAGGTTGTACTGGTAAGTGGTAACTCAATATGTTAGGGTATGCAATTCAAGTCCCACATAGAAAAAATAAGGAAGAAACGACTTCGTTATAAAGGAGAAGTGAATGACCCGGACCCAACACAATCGAGTATAGAATACTAGATTGTAACTTTTTAGCAGGAAGATGATTGGCAACCTTCTTATGAGAGTATGAGACTATTTAAAAGAAAACCGAACCATTGTCGTATAATAATGAAATCCGTACATTTGATTTACC